ATGTAATTTTCTGTTTAATTATTTTTAAATTCCTTCAACAACCAAACATTGAATATATTTTTTTTCGGTTAAATTTCAATTAAAGAAAAAAATGCTTGATCATTTCAATTTTTTGACATTTAAAAATTTAAAGCAATATTTCTTTTACACATTAATTAGAAATGGATAATTTCCTGAAGCACTAAATTATATTAGATGAAGTACCAATGATATAAATACTGGAAATAAAGTAATTAAAATTAGAATTGAATTATTCAAATGTATTTTATTGTTAAATAAATGAATGCTAGTTTTATTGGAAATATAATCGAGCAATCTGTTTAAATTTAATTTTCTTTACTAATCGCTGAATTTTTCGTTAGCAAAAAGGAAAGCATTCAGTAATTAAATTAATTTTACATTAAGAATGTTTGTTTGTATTTTTGTTCTGAATGTCAACAAAAACAAATTTCTATTGCTATCACACATTAGTAAGAATTAATTTTAATGGAATAAAACATTTTTGCATTAATTCGTCTTTCTTTTTTTATTCTTTCTTTTTGCTTTACATTGAATTAATAATTTTTTTTCAGACAAAATGATGAAAACTTTTTTCAGATAGTTTATTATTTTTGATAAATTAATTTTATTCCACAAAAATTCCCATAAAATCTTATTATTACTGGTAGATTTACTCTGATCTTCTTTTTTTTCAATATTATTTTTAAAAATAAGCAATTAGGAAGGTATTAAATGATGAAAATAGAGTAAATATTTCATGAATTTCTCGAGAATAATGTCATAAAATTGATAATTAGCACTGATTTATATTGTCGTATGAAAATTTAATAATTTTCTGATAATTCAGTAATTTGCAAACTTTAATCACGTGAGTACTTACGCTTTTTTTTAACCTACACGTAACGTATTGCCTAGACAATTGTTTGTAACACAATAAAAATAACAATTAGCTTAGGTATTTCTACTTTACCTGAAAAAATAGTTAATGAAAAAGTAGCTATGCTAATATTAATTAAGAAGCAAAAATTTAATTTAATGTCAAAATTGATTATAATTTTTTCTTTTTGAATATTAATTATAAACAGCCAATAAAATGCATTTTAGAATAGAAATATTTTCTTAATGATAAAATCTAATCCATAAAGAGTTTAAAAATAAAAATTGATTAAATTATTCAATTACAAAATGTAGTAAGTTCGATTCGATTGAAAAACAAATATCGTAGAATAATTTAAAAAATAAAATAATTTAAGTTAATAACTTTCTAAAAAAATTGATGAAAATCGTGGGAGCACGGGAAGACTACCATCAAATATACCAGTAATAATCAATAAATATTATTCAAAAATTGTGTTTATTCAATGATTTACTTATTTTCATTATGAAAATTTCTTAAAATTTTCAATTTATCACAGACTGACAAATATACATCGCACTGTAAATTAAAATAAAAAAAAATAAACGGAAAATTCTTTCAGGAAATCATTTTATGGATAAAATTTTCAATAATTCTTCGGAATAAAACCAAGCCGAATTGTCTTTTTTCTATTTTTTGAAAGAGTAAAATTTTCAATTTTTTCTCGAGATCATAATGATGAGATTTTATGTCACAGATATTGTATGCTATAAATAAATGAATTTTTTTTTGAAAATTTCAGAATATTCATTTAAATTTTTAAACAAACAATGCAATTATATTTTTGAATTAAATCTTTTATTTGTGCATTTAATGATTTAAATTTTAACAGTTTTAAGTAATGCACATTTAGTATTATCATAATTTCTTAATTTGAAATTTAAAAAACTTACTAAATTGATTTAAAAAAAATTTTTTTTTTTCAAAAAGTGCTACGATATTAACTGAAAGGGCAAATTTTAGTATTTTACTAAAACAAATTACTGAATGCCATTAAATGTTATTTTAGATAATTGTAATAAATTATCTAAAATTATTTTCATTACATCCATTTTACTTTAATAAATGAAAAATCTTTTTTTTTTCTGCTTTTGCTTTTATTCTATTTCTTTTTATTATTTAGTTTGTGCTATTCGAAATTTTATCGAAAATTACTAATTGTTCTTTTATCCATAAAATGTATGCTAAGTTAAATTTTATTTGAATTAATAATTGGAGCAAATTTTGTTTACATTTTATTAAATTTTCATAAAATTGCTTATTTTGATTGCTTATTTTGACCCAAAAAAAATCGATAATATTTTTTCCATATTTAAATTAAATTTAATTTCCGAAATTAACTTAGAAAAGAAAGAAACAACAAAAAACCTAAATAAACTAAGATTTTTTTGTGTAATTCATCTGTTTTATGATTGATCAATTTAATTTGCTACTGTTTGCAATAATTAATTTTAATTGAGAAAGTTAGAATTTAAATTAGAACTCAGAAAAAAGTTTCATTCTTATCCTCAAAATTGCATTTTTTTTTATCTGAAAACATAAAAAAAACTTTTTCGAATTGTAATTAAAAAGTTTTGATTTTCTATAAAAAAAAAATTTGTTTTTTTTTTTTGAGTTCCATAAAAATTAATTAACGAAACCATTAAGTAATTAGAAAAGAAAATTAATTTATTTATGAATAGAAAAACATTTATAAATTTCTAAAAAACATTAATAATTTTAAGCAAATTTGTTTTAAATGTAAAATGAATGTGCATTGAAATTGACTTAAATTTGACTAAAAATTTAAATTAACAAAAAGATTTAAATAATTTCTTTTTTTAGTAGTAAAATGGGAAATTCAACAATTTAGCTATTTCTTGACAAATTGTTTCAAAATTTTTACTAACTAAATTCATATTGAAATTTGTCATAGCAATTTAAAAATGAATAACAAATGATAGATGAGAAATTTGAATATGGTAGCATCCATTTCTCATAAACAACAAATAACATTAATCCTCCGATTTCTGAGAAACTCTAAAATGTTGCATTTTAGCTTTAATTTGTTGATCGATCCATTTAGTAGCATCCATCGACCAATTTTAGCTAAGCAAAAATATGATAGAAATTTAGCATTATAGCCTAGAATTTTCATCAAAATTAAAAGAGAGAGAGAAAAAAAAAGCAATAATTTGCAGTGCAGCATTTCAATCTTTTCAAAATTTCAATTAATCCAACAGATTTAATTTAATTATCAATTATACATTAATGCTTAACTAACTTTCAATAAATAATTTGAAGTAAAAATGCAATTACAAATTCAAATTTTATACGATATCTTTTGCATTGCAAATTTAATTTCATCCAACACAAACAAACCAAAAAAAAAAACAATAAATTATTTGAAAGTTTTTATAGAAGTAAATAACTAATTGAATAATAATAATAACAATAAAACAATTAGTCACATTTTCTATCTTTTTCAATTATGATGATATTTCTTTTTTTGATGTGAAAAATTTACAAATAAATATGGTAAAAATTTAAAATTGAAATTGAAATGAAATTAAATTAAAATTTTAGCTTTCTTTCTTTTTCCTGTTCTTTCATCATTTTCAACATTTCAAACTAATTCAATTCACAATTCACTGTTTTTTTTTTTTTTTTTGCACCAATTAGTAACAAATCATTTTAACTACACACTTAATAAATTTAAATATTATTTTCAATTCTTTTTTTTTAAAAAATATTCTGTCAATCATATTTTTGCATTTCATATTTATTTCTCTTTCTTTCTTTCTTCTTTTGTTATCGTCATTTTTTGAATGAAATATTAGTATGAAATTTGAAATAAAATATTCGTATGGAATTTCCTATCCTTCTAAATTATTAAAAAGAAATTTGTTTGTGTCACAGATTTCAATGAATGAATCTTTTAGCAATGCTTCCTTTTCTTTTTTTTTTTTTACTATTTTCCATCATCACATTTGACTTATTTGCTTTTTTTTAGTTTGAAAAAAAGAAAAAGAAGCAGAGAAAGGGACAGAGAAAGAGAGACAGAGAGAGAGAGAGAGAGAGGAAAGAAAAGAAAAGAAATGAGAAAAATACTTTCAATGGCATTCTTCCTCATAACTAACTTTTTTTTTTTTTACTTACTTCAAAAAAAATTGCTATCCAAAAAAAAAAAAAGAAATAAAAAAAGTTTTTTTTTTTTTTTTTTTTCTTTTCTTACGAAAAGCCTTGAAATCAATGATAAGCTATTAAGTGCTAAAGTCCTTTTTTAAAAAAAAAAAAAAAGAATTATTGAATTTGTAAAAGAAAGAAAAATTCTTTAAAAGGAAACGAAAAAAAAAAGAAAGAAAGAAAAAAATTTACTAAGAAGGAAATAAGATTAAAAGAAAGAAAGATAAAGAAGAGGAAGAGAGAGAGAGAGAGGGAGGGAGAGAGAGGGAGGTAAAAGATAAATAGAAATGATTGAATTGTCGAATTGGTTTCCATTTGCAAGAATAAATGACTTACACTGAGATAGATAGATAGATAGATAGAAGAGGGACTTAAAAATATCCAAAAAGGAAAAGGGCGGTGTTATTATCATCATTTTTCATCCTTTCTCTCTCTCTCTCTCTTTCTCTTTCCCTCTCTCTCTCTCTCCTTTCATCTCTTACTCTGATATATATATAAATACAAATATAAATACATTTACATATATATAAATATGTATGAATGTACACGGATTCATATATATTAATATTAAATATATTAATTCAATTCATCCGGAACGATTTATTTTACTATTCTTTTCAATTTTATTTCATAAATTTTCATCAAAATTATTTATTGGCTAATATTAATTCATATTCTATTACTGATATTACTGCAACAAAACTTTTACTATTCATTTTTATTACTATCAAATTTTAAAATTAATCAACTGATCAATTACTGTCTACTGAATTGATATCGATTAATTCTTCTACTTATCATTTAATCAGTTAATCAGTTAAATCATACATTTTTCTCCTTCTCCCATCCTATCAATCTACAATTTTCCTTCTTTTTTGTATTTTAATCAAAAGGGGAAAAAAAAAAGAATTGGAACAAAATGCATATCCGATACTTACAGCATTTACAGCAGGGTAAAGTGCAACGAATTCCGATGCCGTTTACCGGAACGGTTGATTCAATTCGAAGCAATACAATACGGTTTTGTTTATGTTTCATTTTATTTTATTTTTTTCTTAATCAAATTTCAATAATTTTAATATTTATTTTATTTTATTAATGCAATCACTAAACAAATTTCATTTTCAATTTTGACCAGATGGCTAACAAATGTCTGATTAGAGAATATGCTTGAATAATACTCAAAATATTTATTACTTTAAAATATTTTCTTTTCATTTTTTCACACTATTCTAATCTTTTTAATCTTTGTAATTTTATTTAAAACTACTTTTTTTTAAAAAAAAAGAATTAATTTAGAGTTATTATTTAAAAAAAACAAAAACAAAAGGCATTAGAAAGGTAGTTTATTTTAAATTTAAATAGTTATTGAAAGGAATAATAAATAAGTGAGTGAATAAGCAATTTCATATGTAAAATCATTTTGGCATATATTATTTATCTTTTCCTCATTTCTTTGATAAGTAGGGAATATGTGATAACTTAATTTCTTTTAAATAAGTATAATAACTTTAAAAATAAATATAATAAATTTTTAAGAAATATAAAAATAACTATTTTTTATTTTTCAACATATTTTCATCAAATGATATTATTTTCATATAATAATTTGTCGAAAATTGACTAACTGAGTGTATTTTTGAATCTTATATTAAATTTAAATTTAATTACAAAGCTAATATAAAATATGATCTGAATATTATCACATAATGTTATTTCGATAAATTTAAAAATGTAAATTTTGCTCAATTATACTAGCAATAATAAGAACTCAAATATAATATATGAAATTTGTACACCCTATTAGGACTGGCATATGACAAAAACTTTTTTTTTGAATATTTTTGATTGAATTTAATTTCTAACTTATTTGAAAGTAAATATCAATCTATTCACAATCATCAATGAAAGCAAACTTTTATTTAATAATTTTTCTTACAAAGAATATTATTTTATTATTGCTACTAAAAATAAAAAATCTTACTTATTTTTCATTTTTAGTAATAAAATTTCTAATTTTTAAAAAATTTCTTTTCTGGTATTTTATATCTTTAAAAAAGAAAGAAATAGAAGGAAGTGATGGTATTAAATAAACCAAAAAAAAAAAAAAAAAGAAAAGAAAATCAATTTTTATGAATTCTGCTTTTCACTACTCATCTCATTCAATCAAAAGGATTTAATTTTAAATCCTTTAGCTAAAGCATTTTATATTTCAATAATTTCATTTGCAAACGATCTTTATTTGAAAGAATTGCTAATTTAAAGCTTAGCTAATTCATAAATTATTCCTCGGTTTTATCCATTATTTGTTGTAAAAATGAAATTTTACAAACCATTTGGCGAAATGTTCGTTTTCATCAAAAAAAAAAAAAAAATCTCATTTTCATCAAAAAAAAAAAATATTCTTTACATCTAAGAAAAGAGAAATAAAATGATGAATGTTTGCAAAAAAAAAAAAAAAAAAAAAGAAAGAAAATAGAAGCTATTATATGAATTCATTATCACAATATCATGGGTCAGTTGATCCATTATCACAATATCATGGGTCAGTTGATCCATTATCACAATATCATGGGTCGGTTGATCCATTATCACAATATCATGGGTCAGTTGATTCATTATCACAATATCACGGGTCGGTTGATCCATTATCACAATATCATGGGTCAATAGATCCATTATCACAATATCATGGGTCAGTTGATTCATTATCACAATATCATGGGTCAGTTGATCCATTATCACAATATCATGGGTCAGATAGATCACAATATCATGGATTAATGGATTCGCTATTATCATATTTCAGGTCAACGGATCCGTTATCATCACATTCCAAATCAATGGATCAATTAACACCGATAAATGATGATGAAAATGAATTAGAATCAATTCCATTACCAATACAAACATTTTTATGGCGGCAAACAAAGTATCATTTATTTATTTATTTATTTTTTTTTTTCATACAATATTCAATTTATATTTGCATTAAATGAATAACATTTATTTGCAAAAATTGAAATTTAGTTTGAAATTTAAATTATAACAAATTTTACAACTAAAAAGAGAGAGAGAGAGTATATATGAAAGATTTTATAATTAAAATATTAAGTAGCATTTAAGATACATCGGAAAAAAAAAATTGAGTTTGTTTTTACATTTTCATTTCTTTATTCTTTTAAATTACATTTCTTTTTTGCTAAATAGCATTAAATAAATTTTAGTCCATTCTTGGGTGCAAAAATTGGCAAACTTCATGAGGCATCATGCGTGGTAAATATTTCAATGCTTTGTAAAATACTTTCAAAAGTTGTTATTGTGGCATTTAATCCATTAGACAAGAGACTTCTGATTAGTCTTGAAAAGAAGAATGCCCATTAATCGAAAATGCAGAAAGATCGGAAGTCTCTAAATCTAATGTAAATAGGCTGAAATTAAGAAAGAAGAAAAAAATGAATTCAAGAAAATTTCATTTTATATATATATGTCAAATAATTATTTTATACATATCAAAATATAATTTTAATTTTTGTTTTCTTTTAAAAGTATTTATGAATTAAATTCAGAAAAAAAAGAAAGCATTTAATAATAATTATTAATTGATAAATTTTTAACTTAATGAAATGAATCAAAAAGAGATAAGCTAGTAATATTTAATAAAAATTTGAAAATTATTTAGACATTTGAACGTGTTGTTGTACAAAATATACTTCACGGACTTAGTCCATCACTTTCTGATGCAATTAATTCCATTTCACGTTGGCATTTCGTACGTGCAACATTTCCACATATTGTACAAGTAAGTAAGCAAAATTTTTTAAAAATACTTTTTAAAAATATTTTTTTTTGCTTTTTTTTCTACGCTTACTTAAAAATTTTGATAATATATAATAAAGTGATATAAATTAATGCTAAAAAAACAAATAACTATAAACATATTAAAGTAAAGTATAATAATTTAAGCGTTACGTACGTGTCATACGCTTTGAGATATTTATGTATTAGTGTTAAAAAAAGATATTTTATTAAATTTTGAATTAAAATGTAGTGTTGTGCATCGTTATTATCGGAAGCAATTGATCGAGATGGTGAACCGATGAGTGGATCATTGGTGAAAATGTTATATATATTACATTGGCTTCTCCTTGATTCAGCTAATGAATGTTATGATGTTGAAAGTAGAAAGGTATGATAGATTAGCATTTATCTCTTCATTATTTTAATTTCTATAATTTAATACTCAAAATTCAATTAATTAATAACTAATATTAATTGTTAAATAAAATAAAACTTTTATAGATATTAGTGAAATTGTCAAAATGAATTAATTTCACTGACTAAACATGGTTTCTTTTTCTGATACAAAAGCATAATAAATATATCTTACTTAAATCTTTTTTTTTTTTTTAAATTTTTTTCTTACTTTAATCTTTTTTTTTAAATTTTTTTTTAGATTTTTTTTAATCTGTGTATAATTATACATATATTTTAGATAAAAATAATTGGACTAGGATTGAAAATATCAAATTTGTTACTTTTTATTAATGAATTACTTTTTAAAAAATGATTTAGTTAAAATGAATTAATTGTTGCTGAAAAATTTCCAAGTATTTAAAAGATTTTTTTTTTTTTTTTTTTTGCTTGTAATTAACAATGAATAATTATATTCTCTGTGTCACAGTTCGATTGACAAATAATGGAATTAGTTTAGCGAAGCGATAAATCACATTTCATTAAGTAAGCAATTACTTACTGCAAAGCATTGCTATGATTGATTGACAAATTTGCTATCGAAGTAATTCAAATGTACAAATAAATAATATTTTCAAGCTTATTAGATAAATTATTTAATTCCATTTCTAAATCATTTTACAAATTTATGTAGCAAATAATTTGAATTCAATTGTATTTGTTGATATTTGTTTGGCTGTTAATTTGTTTTAATCATTATTAAGATTTATCAGTAAATATGATATGAGCATTTTATCAGTGATAATAAGAAAGTAATATGAATCCATTGAGTCTTGTATTATTTATTTTTTTTTTAGAAAATACATGAGATGAAGAAGAATTTATTCAAAATAAATTTCTTGATCAATTCTAATAATCGATAATAATCGATTGATTGTAATATTTATGGAATGGGTAGGAAAGACTTATCCCAGTGATTGAATTCTTTTTTGATCGATTTTTTTTTTCAAAACCTCAGGGATTTCAAATAAAATTTTTTAAAAAATTGTTTTCTCTTTTCTCTAATTTTCGTAAATTCTTATCTGTTAGTGAATATTTCTACTGCAAAAAAGTTTTATTTTATATTAATATATAAATAAGTTTAACGTTCTTTTTTTTCTTTTATAGCTGCAAAATAACTATCAAATTTCCATTTATTTTTTTCTAAAATACTTTAAAATTCAATTTTATTTTAAAAGCAGCATGAAATTAGCAAAGAAGAGGGTGTGAATTAATTCTATATTTAGGCTTAAGGAAGTGTTTTCTCATCATAAATATATTTGTTGTTTACAAATTGAAAATTGATGCATAATTAATTGACGCTTCCACTTTTATTCATATAATTGATGATTTAAACTTAAGTGATGCATTTAATAGCTGCTAGATGAATATAAATGATAATAAATAAATCATTAATTATAATCAATAAGCAAAAATTCTTTATTATGAAAAAATATGTTTGATTCCTATAAAATTATATATACTTTTAGACTAATCAATAAAAATAAAATAAAATTTAATGAACATTTCACAAAATTAATTATTATAAAAATGAAATAAAATTTAGTAAATATTCCAGTAAAAAAAAAAAGTTTTTTTTTTAGAAAATTTTTTTATGAGAATTAATGGAAGAATATTATTTCTTTTCATTTAATTCTATCATACGAAATAAAAATTTATTATCATAAAATTATTGTAATTTTTTTTAAACTAAAACATATTACTAACAATGAAATATTGGCCGCAGCTATAAAACAAATTTATGAAAGCTATTTTAAATCAAACAATTTAAAATTTCAAAATTGATTTGTTTTACTTTAAGCTCATTAGAATTTCACAAAACATAATCAAGTGTTAAATAATTAATTCTAAACTTAAAAATTTTAACTAATTTGATATATAGCTGAAAATTTCATTTTATATTGCTATAAAATTGCTATAAATTTTAGCATTTTATATTGCTATAAAAATTTTATATTTGCTTCCAATTTTCAATGCGAAATCAAAATTTCAATATTGTTTATGTTAGCTAAGTTATGATTGATTGAAGTGAGACGAATAGTCCATGCCATTTTATACTTAAATACTTTAGCAGTATTAGCTAGAAACTCATCTAAAAAAAAAAGTATTATTCTAATAAAAAATACAATTTTAAGAATTTTATGAGAATTAATTAAGAATGTTAATTCTGCTCATTCAATTTTATCATACAAAACAAAAGTTTGTTATCACAAAACCACTGCAAATTTATAAACTAAAATAAATTTGTTATCATTTTTTTTCGAAAATTTTCAGAATAATTATTATAATAAAAATTTTACCAATGAAATCAATGAAAATTATCATTTTTTAAATATATATAAAAAAATTAAAAAATTTTTTTTAGAGTTTAACCGAATCAACGGATTTCCCACCACATACCATACGACAATATGCATTTTCAATTAATAGTATACAATTATTCGTGTATATGATTACTCCATTATTAAAAGTTATCACTGAAAAAGATTTGACATCAAATTTTCGTCTAGAAAGTGGCTTAAAAATTTGGCAATCACTTTGGCAGGTAAAAAATTATTTAAAAAATTAAAATAATTTTTTACTCCATCCAAATATATTTCCAAAATATCACAAAATCCATTATTATAATAATGAAAAAAAACAGTAATACGTTATTTATTTATTTATTGTTGTTTTTTATCATCTAAATTAACTAATCTGCTATTTATATTATACTACAGTATCGACAACCGGATGTATTATGTTTCTGTGCTCCGGTAAAACAACGCCGTATACGTTTTCCATTTATAACGATTGTCAAGAAGGAACAGCCAACTTCGGCAATTCAAGGAATTTATCTTGGTATAAATTAAAATGATAAACTTTCATATTTCATTTCAAATATGACAGTAAATATTATCAATTATATTAATAGCTAATTTTATTGCTACAACAATGATACCTATATGATTTAATAATTTTAATTAACCTACAAAGGTATGGAAGAAATTTCACCTTTGAATGGTCAAATTTAAGTTTCTTTTATTCATATCTGATACTATTAACTTTTATTTTCCCTTTAAGTTAATATTTGATGATATAATAAATCGGTTAATGTTTCATAAAAAGTAAATGTGAAACTTTAGGCGATGCAGGTGAAACAGTAACACGGCGCTTGTCAAACGTTCCGGTTCAAATTACCAATCCTCCGCCATACACCGACGTACCACCGCCTAAACCACCTCGTCCCTACTTGGCTGTTTTGTCAAGTTTAAGCAAGCAAAAAGAAGGTGGAGAAGCCGAAATTCCTAAAATTCAAGTAACTGCTACCTTAAGCTTTGATCAACAACAACAACAACAACAACAACAACAACAGCAACAGCAGCAGCAGCAGCAGCAAATGTTATCAATAAAAAAAGTAATACAACAAGAAATCCATCCATTATTATATTCATGAAATAAGGAAATCAACAAGTAAATGATGAATTTTTTGTTTTAAAATAAAAATTCTCCTGAAATATTTTTGAAATTTTACAAAACTTTCAAATCATTCCTTCATTTCTTCAATGTCTTAACAGCCAAATAATTTGGAAATTAGTCGATCAAGCGCAATTGTTCGAAGTGTTAGTGATTATCATACAAGTGATATTCCACGGATATTTACAAAAAGTCATACTACAACATTTGATGAAATATCGCCAAGTTTGTTTTGTAATTAATTACTTAAATACTTTTCATAATGATAAATCTACTTAAAAGACTAATTAAGCTGAAGCAATTACCAAATATTTAAGGCAACAACCAATTTTATATTTATAACAGGAAAGTTTCATAGAATTTTTTTTTTTTTTTTGTTTAGTATTAAATAATTTTAAATTTTTCCTATTTCTATTTTCTATTTTCAGGTTTATGCAAAGGAATGAAAGAACTTGATGATGCACTTAATTTTGTGGATGATAAATCACTTAGCAATGCAATGGATGATGCGGAAGTGTCTGCGGAAAAAGCACCATTAGTAGCATTGCAGGAAATATGTTCCGGTATTTCGGCGGATTTTGAAAATACTTCACATAATGCTTGTGAGGTGTGCTTAACTTCTCAGTTTTTTTTTTTCAAATTTTAAATTAAAATAAAACAATGAAGTATTATCATTATTTAGAAATTCTGGAAGAAATTTTTGAATTCTTTTTTCTTTGTAATTTCTCAATAATAAATTTGTAATACTACAGAAATTATCATACAATTTCATTAATTTTTACATAGAAACATTCTATCTTACATCATATAAGTAATTTCTTATTTAAATATTTTACAACATAAAATTCTTTTCTGTTATCAAAAAAAAAAAAAACACTTTAATCAAACTTTAAAAAAATTTCATTTTAGATTATTTGTGAAGGTTGTCGCTCAGTAATATATCGCAATGGTTCAACAGTAAATGCATGCAAATGCAACCAACCACCGATCGTTTCACGTTTAAAAATTATTCCGATTAGTTCAACAACTCATTCCGACATAACTTCTTTACCGGAATCCAGACAACGTACTGATATAACTACAACAACTCTCATTTTTTTTTTCTTTTTCGTACTGTTTTTTATCGATTTAAAAAATTCAATTATTTTTAATTTGTCCCTTTTATGTTCTGAGTATTTTAAACTATCATATGCTAATGTAGAAGGATAAATTGTAGAGGGAAAAAATTCAGTGCTAACCGATGAAACAAATATTAAAGTAGTAGAAGAAAATACTGAATCGATCAAAGTATTTGATCCATTAGAAAGTACTTCAGAAGAATGCGATACTATACAACAACAACAGGTAAAATGGAAATTTCAATCAATTTCTAAAATATAACAAAAAGCTAAACAATTTGAGAGAGAGAGAGAGAGAGTAAATGGAGAGATTAGAATGAAATCATTTTTTATAAACTTATTAATAAATATAATTAATTTGCAATTTCAGTTATTTGTTGATCCACAAGAAGCAACATATATGGATGTAGCTGTTATTCGTTGTCTTCTAATTAAACATTGGGCTGAAGATGGTGTTTACTGGGCAATGAAATATTTGTTAAATCGTTTATTCCAAATTAAAATATATCGAAATTCACGAACTATAATGTATCGTTTACGTTCACGTGCTAATTCGATGTCAACAATTCCACATTTGAAACTATATGCTAGCAAAATGGTCTAAGTTATTTCAATTTTTAGCATTTCGTTTTTCTAATTTTCATCCTTTTTATTTTGGAAAAATTAAAATATTCATAATTATTGTTATAATTGAATGAAAAAAAAAAAGAAATTTTTTTTTTTAAATTTCAGGATAATCGTAAAATTGTAAAAGAAATTCAATATCGTCCACCAGTTTGGGATGATTTACAGTTAGGAGATGTTGCCAAAAAGCTGGAAAAATGCAAAAATGATAAGAGCAAACAAAAAATTTCATCTTTTTCACTTAGGAAAAAGTATGCTTTCTTTTTTTTTTAAATATCTCAGAGGAATGAGCAAAATCAATCTAAGATCTAAAATTCAGATTCCTAAATCTATTTCATTCTTGAGAAAGTTCTCGTCATGCTGTCATTATTTTGCAACTTTTGAAATTACTCTCTGATTAGTGAAAAGAAATGTTTTTTTAAATGAATCAAATTTTAAATGAAAATTAAAAATTTGATTAGAAGACGCCGTAGTTTGTCGTCTGATTCATTGCTGCAAACAATAGCTTTATCAAGACGAAGAGATATGATAATATCAAGGAATTTCTTCAGAAGTCGTAGTAATCGTTGTTATTTGGAAAGGAAAAGGTAAACAAATCTTCTACACTTTTAATTTAAATTTTTCTTAAAAATTTAAATTTAAAATAGAAATTCAAATTAAATATATATTTTTTTAATTCCATAAGCAATACAAATTATGAAAAAAGAATAGTTTTAATTAAACAGGCAAAATAGCTCTCTCTCTCTCTCTCTCTCTTTCTTTTTTTCCCTTTTCAGTTCACTGATTTAAACATCTTTCCTTAGTATTATCAACAATATTTGTTTACAGAAGTGATCCTTCAGCAACAAATTCATTTGATGGTCTTTCAATGCATGACACAAGAAGTGCTTCTGTTATTGGATTACCTAAACAATTTACCAATGAACTTAGCACTTCACAATTTTTTCCTGAGGTTTATAAAATCTATCAATTAAAACTAAAAAAAAAAAAAAAAATAGAAAATAATTTGTCATTCATTTAAAAATGTTTAAAATATACCAAAAAAGTTACAATAAATAATAATATATATTCGGATAATGCTTCACATTATTCTGTTATATTTGACTGAAAATAATAATTTAATTCATACCAAATAATTTTTTGAAATTATTTAAATTTCATTTTCTCATTTATTCATTTTATTTTAGGCACTTGGAAGTACAAATTTTATTGAACAAAATGGACAAATTAGTTTCATAGTGTTATTAAAAGCAATTTATTTTGCTATCGAACGACGTTCTTCTGCTCGAATTTATGAATTGGCATTAAATATTTGTGAAAGTTTATTGGAAATGCCTGAAACGCAGTTGCAATCATTTTTCAATGATTCTATCAGTATAGTACTAAGGTATTTCAGTTTTCTTTTTTCATATACTTTGGTGCAATGAACAATAATTTATTCATGAACTTATCTTTTCTGGCATAGTCTTTAGTTAGAATGAATAATGTTCATAACTTTTTTTTTTTTTATTAATTAGATAATTAGATAACTGGTTAGAACTAATTAGATTAATTAGATAACTGATTAGAACTAATTAGATTAATTAGATAATTGATTAAAAAATGTCCACTTTATACCTGCTTTGTTGAAAGGGCTATGTACGATGATCACAGAAATGCATTATTAATAAACCGGTGGCTTCGATTTCGTTTCCGACTATTAATTCCTGAATTTCAATTGTTGCTATTTGTGTTATTAAATATAATATATGAAATTCAACAAATAATGAATTGGAGTATTTTCAGAATTTATTTATGGTTAGGTTGTCCACATGGATGCAACGATGGCTTAAACTCACAGCATGGTGATTTCCTGAGAATTAAGGCACGAACTATTTTCGCAATCATTTCTCATATTAATCCGGAAATTTTTTGTAATTTATTGATTAGCCATATTGAAGACTATAATGCACAAATGTTGATTGATACATTACATTCCGTAACAGGTTTCTGTAGATGTGGCATAGCTGGTGAGTATTTCTTGAAGTGTTGCATCAAAACTGTTTAGATTATCCTGAATTCATTAGTGTAAACAATTTATTTACGTAAATAATGTGTTCTACAATACAAGTGATTGACTTATGATGCTATGAATTTCCTGATTTAATCTTAACATAAAATAATTTCTCTCTTATACTCATTTTAATATTATTTGAAATTACTTAAATTCCTCATTTACCGACTTTATTGTGGAAGAATAATGCAAATTGTACATTTCTACATGTTTTTTAAAGTAAAAATTTGATTTTCAAGATTCATAAGACTACTGAAAATGAATTTTTGCCTATATTCTTTCTTGAAAACTAGTGTTGATTCCTGATTAGTTCCATTTTCAAGCATTTATTTACAGCCGGAATTCATCGTACACGAAGCGGTTCATCACCACGTCGTCGAAATGTTATACTGAATTCTTCTTTACCTTCATATGAAAATAATTTTAACGAAAGTTTGAAGGGAATTGAAGGAACAGTTATCAAAGTCATACTTAAACCAGTAGTATCAAAATTAATGAATACAATGGATGAACTTTTACAACCCGAAAATATGGTTAGTTATTAAGATTTGCACTATGCAAATTACTTCCATGAGGTTTCAATTTTTGTCATTTTTAAAAAAATAATTTTATCCTTTTTTCCTTTCATTTTTAATTCCACATATTGTTTCATGTTTGAATAAGGCAACATCTAATTTTTTCTCTTTTTTTTACATATGATTGAAATATTTATAATTATTGCTATTTTTTTTTCTAATAGTAAATATTGTAAATATAATATTTAATATAGAATTAGAAAGAAATCCATCATACTAACATTTCTAATAAATTTCAGAGTTTGTATCAAGATGTACGACTATTTGTATCATTTATTCAAGAACAACATGGTAATTCATTTAGATGTGTAGGTTTGAGTGCTTTATTAGATGGACGACCACCGGAAAATCAAAGTCAATTTCTTGATGTGTATGTTTTACAATTTATTATTTAAAGTTTAAATTAAAGTACAAATTTGACATTAAAAGTATTATTAAATTAAATGTAAACAAAAAACAAACAATTCATTGTTTTTTTAGCGGTACGTCACAGCTGTATTCTTCCCGTCGGACATCCTTACTGTGTCCACTCCCTGAAATCTTTCTATCCGAACGAAATGCAAAACTGTCAAACAACGATGACAACGAGTAAATTATTATTAGTATAATATTATGCTAAACTTCTTTAGTGTCCTTTCTATACGTCTCCTTTCCCACTCATAACATCCCGTAATTAAATTAATTTCATTTCATTATCACACAATCATTTCATTAACAGTTACTGTGGAGTAATTTTGAAATGATTTAATTCTGTTTAAGTATGAATTAATTTGCTAAACTTAAAAAAATTATTTACCTGTATTTATACTTATATAGTTTACTAACAGTTACAATTTTTGCTTCATCCACAAGAAATCAATTTACCTAAAATTATTCATTTATCCTATTATAGTACATATGAAATGTATTGTCAAAGCTATGATAATTGAGAATAAACTAAGCAAAGAATTTTTTTAATCAATTACAGTCATTTGTGATAACAAAAATGATATAATTTTAAATGATGATGATGAAATGATAATATTTTATGGTTTTTAGAAAATCCATTCCTAGTGAATTTTACTAAAATTTCGTTCCAGATGATATTTGAATAAGATCATTTTAAATTGATCTGAAAATTGATCATCTCTGTCACAAATTTATTTGAATCAGATCATTTTAAATTGATCTGAAATCTGATCATCGCTGTCATAAATTTCTCGAAACATTTATTATCTTCCATTTTTTTTTTTTTTTTTTTTAAAGAAGGACACTAATGAAGTATTATAGCATGTATTTCAATGTTTGGTTAGTTTAGTCAATTGCACACTGCATGCATACACATGCACACATACACACATGCATACATACACATACCCACACATACATAAACTTTTTTAAATTAATTAATAAATTTATACGCTTACATATTCCATGCACCAAAAAATAAAATTTTGATTTTGATTTTGTTTAGAAATTTTTTATTTTATTTGAAAAAATAGCACCATTTAAATATTTTATAAACTTTCAACCATTGTTGATGTTAAAGAGATTGCTTTCTTTTTTTTTTTTTTTTTTTGTTTGTTTGTTTGTTTGTTGCTACTTCTTAGAAGAATGACATTTGACACATTTGAATTCTGTCACCAACTAGTGATGCTGTATGTATGGCTCCTTAGTAATCATAAAGCTTCCAATGAACAAATATTAATGATATATTAACATATTAACAATATTAATGAATAATTTACTGCTGATAATTTACATAAGCAATTTATGCAAATTAATAATAATGAAAATTAGTAATAATAGTGAAATGATAATTGACAAGCATTTAATAAAAATCTAAATCCTAAATATTGAAGTCAGAAATGAAAAATGGATAAAATTCATGGGAAAAAAGAGTCATTTCATTAGTTAATTTAAAATAGACGAAAAATTTAATTGCATTAATCAAAATAATAGTAAAGTTACTAATAATTAAGAGTGAATTGCTTGTGAAAAATTAATCAATTTTTTGTGAACGCAAACTATCTGAGTTTATCAATTTCTATACAGAAAGTTAATAATTAATTGAAATAATTTATGATAATAATTTAAAGTGTTATTATAGCTAATAGTAATTGATGTTAACACAAGAAATCATAAAAATTTTTATTTGAATGAATTCTACATAATTTCAAATTTTATTGTTTTAAGCACAAAAATGCAAATGTTCCAAAATATTTTATTATTATTTTTTATTTGATATATTACATAAAGTTTTTATGCATGAAATTTGCAAAATTTACACATTTCATTTGAATGTTTGTTTTTTTTTTTTTCAGAATTGAATTAAAATCGGATAATAACAGCGAAGATGAAAGTATACGATCAAGTATTAGCGGTACAGCAGTGCCAACACCAATGCATACCCGTGAATCTGCTTCCTTGAGACGAGGCTTATTTAAAAAACGTGAAAAAGTATTTTCATTTTTTTTTTTTATATTCAGCTATTCAAATTACAATTATCGATGGTAATTCAAATAATTATTAAAATATTATGAAAATGATGATTTTTGTTTTCATTCTCTATTAAGCAAATGTTAACTTTCTAAAAAAAAAAGGAGGGGAGAAAAAAAATTGAATTAAAAATATTACTAAAAGTAATTTTGACATAGAATTTTAGGAATTGTAATTTCTTTTAAATCTTTTTTTCATTTTATGCTTTTTTTTTTATAACAGCAGTGATTTACTTTTTGTGATTTTAATAATAGTTGTGGTTTATTTATTTATTTATTTATTGTTTTTAAAAATCTTTTCGTCCTATCAACGTAATGAGATCAATGCTAGTGTTTACACAGTGTACTTGGAGTACGTGTACAAGCAATATCTCTGACATACAATTTCATAGATGATTATGCATTTAGTTTCAATTTAAAAACGCTTCACTGATAGAGTTTATTAAATTGAAATTTAGATTTAAATTAGAAATATACATTCTTAAAATAGCAATTTCTTATCTAATATTATCCTTATAAAGGAAGGAATAATCGTTTATTTCAGTTGCAAATTTCAAATACTGATGAAAGTGATTTGGATTCTTCCTCACCTTCGACACCAAGAAATGTACAAGGAAGTGATGAAGTGACTATTGCAAGCTTATCTGCTTCACCTTTGTTACCTGTAAATGTTGTGAAGAAGCGAAGTGGTGGAAAACTTCATTTTGGTAAATGACAATTAGAGAAATTAATTGCTACAAATTTCTACTTACTTCAAACATTTTAACTTTTGTTTGTTTGTTTTCTTAAATTGAGACATTGTAAGAATTAGAAAGAAAAAAAATTAGAAGCACAACCCTTGATTATTTTAATTGAATATATTATAACAATATAAGAACTAGTGTTTTTGCCTTCTATTTTATCTTTCCTTATTGATAATAATATGCTTTAAGTCAATTCCTATCATCATCAACAAATTGTTTTAAGTCATCAATTTTTATAGTTTTTATGATTAATATACGATAATAATCCTTTTTCTTATTTCAAAAAATTCATATAATTGAGATTGGTACAATGATAAAGCATAAATTATGTATTCTATTTAGCTTTAAATTAATTTAAATACCAAAAGAAATATTGAAAAGTTATTTCTTTTGGAAGCAGTTCGAGATATTTACATTTAATTATTATTCATTTAGCTCTGAACTTGTTAAAATCGTCAGTACGACCTGACAATAACGATGACAATGGTTCAGATGGTGAAATAAATGATGATGATAAAAGTCAGGTAAATGAATGTTTTGAAATTTATATTAAAATAATATTTTTTTTAATCCAAATTTTAAGCAAATGGGGTTTGTTATTCTATCAATTTCAACTTAATTTAAATTAATTTACTGACTAATTTTATTAAATTTAATTTTAACAAATTTTATATCGCAACAAATATATTTATTTTGAATGCTCATCATTGAACACCTTTACACTTAATTATCAAGTACCAGTCATTTTATTGCTTTTAATTTCCTGAAATCTCTTGATTATCCCTGCTTACTGATCATTTACCAGAAAAAAAAATTAATGCAATTTATCGTAAAAAAATTTATCGTTCTAAAATTGCTAAAAAATAACATTCAAAATTAGCACATATTGAATTACAAATTGAAATTTATGGAAAATATTAAAGTCTAAAATGAAATGTATTACTTCGTTATATGAAATGACATTTGTGCTGTTTCTCTTTAGTTAGCAATTTTCTTAAATTTCATACTTCGATTTTTTTTTTTTTGGATAAGTATGAATGTTTAGAATGGAATTTTAATGCATGAGGAACGTCGTTCGAAAGGTTTAACAGTACAAAAATTGTCTTCGTCGAAAATTCTCATAGCACATCAGAAATCTACCGAATCCATGGACGATAAGCAAGGTTTTCTAATTTTTGTTCAATAAATTAATTTGCAGTTTGAAATTAGAAATTTCAAATTGTAATCTATATGAATTACATATGAGATCTCGTCCAGTATATTAAAAAAAAAAAAACTTGAATTTTTTTTTTTTAAAACGAATAGAATTCTTCATTCTTGAACTTTCAAAAGAATGCATTTGTCGTTATTCGAATTTATTTAATTCCAGAACAATTACATCCGAGACAGACCTCTCTGACAAATTTAAATCTTCCATTACGTAAATTTGTCAATTTGCGTGGTATTCAAGAAGGTGTACGACGTTTTTCATTTTTTCTTGAAACTTGCCGTCCGGGAAGCTATCCGGATCCTCCACTTCTAGCTGCATTATTGGATTTGAAATCTCCTGTGCTAGCAAGAGCTTCACTTCTTCTCGAATGTGCTTTTTTTGTTCATCGATGTAATAAAGGTATGATATACTTATATATAGTTAATTAATATGTTAATTTTTAACAATTTGAATAATTAAAAAAAAATCCTTTCAAGTTTTAATTTCACTTCTCGAATGTGCTTAGGACTTAATTTAGGAGATTGGCCTGAATGGATACGTTCAAATAACGCATGTCAATTAAGTGCTTTCGTTATTGGAAATACGTTTGGAAGCCGTGGTACGCCAAGCGCAACACGTCGAATGCATATGATGCAACGTGCTGCTGCTCGTTGTTTCTATGATTGGGGATGTCAGGTTTGATGAATTAAATGATATTCTCGAGTAAGCCAAATATATTTTTATTATTTCATTTAAAGATTTCTGTTGTAGAAATTTTTGACTAACTTTTTGCTTTAGTTTTTTTTTTTTTTTTTTTTAATCTTTACTATTTACCATTTTCAATGTTAATAATTTAGCTTGGTGAACGAATTTATAAGATTATGGAAACTAGTGGAGCAATGCTTAATAAAACTCCATCAAAAAATATTGATTTGAATCGACGTGAACTTGTCATACATGATAATTTAGAAGATTTCTTTGATGAAGGTTTTTTAATTTGTACTATTAAATTTAAAAAAAAAAGACAAAAAAACTTTTTATTTTGAATTTCAGTGGTTGATAATAATTAAAAAAGGACTGCATGTGTTTATAAATAGGGTTATTTTAGGGAATTATTTAAAAAATTTTTTTAAAAAAAAGGTGGAAATTTTCAGGAATTGTAAATGATGAAAGCGGTGAGCGTTGCCCACCAGCTATTTTATTTCTAGCATGTCTTTTATTGAATGAAATTACCGCCTTCTTGAGAGAAACATTTCAGGTTCAAATATTTTAAAACTTTAAAAGTTTTCTTTCCTAATTATATAAATTATAATAACAACACTGCAAAATCCTCCCCCCCCCCCCAACCTTTTCTTAATACTATATTTAAATATTTTAAATTTTAATTTGATAAAATTTCTCTCAAATAAATTAATTATCTAAAATAACAATTTTCTGCTTAAAAAAATTGAATTTTTGCAACATTCAATTATCACTATTGATTTCATATATTTTAACAATCTCAATTCACCTATAACTTTCACCTAATTTGGCATATTTTACTATTATTTTGCTAAATTTAAGACAATTCCTCGTTCTCGAAGTAACAAAGGAGCTAGTGCAGGTACGTTAAACTTTGATAAGTTAACGCCAAATCGACGTTGGTCTATTCTTTCCAACATGTTTAGCTCACAACAACAGCAAAGAGCAAGCAGTATACAAAGTATTACGGACGTCAATTTAACAATCCATCGTAATATATTTCATTTTTTTTTTTAAATTAAGTTTTAAAAAAAATAAGATGTTCATGAATAGTTTAATTCTCCGTAAACTTTTGCATTCGTTGTATTTGCTTAATTTCATTTCTCTTTAAATTCATGCAAATTTAATGATTACTTAATCTTAGCATTGGCAAATATTACTTAATCTTAGCATTGGCAAATAGCAAGAAGTAATAAAGTAATCAGTAAATTGATTTAAAATTATTAATATAATAAGAAAATAATTGAATAACTATCTCAACTTATCTAATAAATTACAGAAAGTGATCGACGAATTAGTTTATCTACAAATGAAGAAAATTCATCACGAAGTTCACATGAACATACCGAAGAAATTGTACAACAAAGTGATAAAAAAGGTTTGCACATTTATGGTAATCAATCAAATTTCCTTCAAAATAAATTATCGCTTATGCTAAAATTTGTTTGCTTGCATAAATTGAATTGCTTGTCAAGCTTTATTGTGAGCATTTCTTTGATCTATAATGGAATAAATGATACAAATGATTGATTATTGATCGATTGTCTTCATTTTAATAGGAAAAAGAAAAACAATTGGATAGTTTGAATTGAATCGAATTAATTCATCTATTCATCATCAAATACAATGTATAAAAATTAAGCGCAAATTTTCGGTGTAAAAGTGACCCCCCACAGATGCTGATTCGAATGGTGACAGAATGACGTATTATACGAATGGTGAACGTCTTATTTCGCTAAGTGATCAACATCTTGCGTGTAAAAACAAATCAAGCTATGAACGAAAAGTTGGGGAAAAGTGTTCACACGTGAAACGTTCCCATACATTAACTGTTCCAACACATTCAATGGTCATCACTACAATTATCTCGAAATCAGGTTTTGAAAAAAAAAAAAATCGAAATTGTCCTTTTCCTTCTCTTTCTTTTTCTTTCTTTCTCTCTCTCTCTCTCTCTCTCTCTCTCTGTAGAAGTAAATTTTCATGCTATCCTTTTGTTTTTCAATTTCAATTTTTAGATTTTTTCTAACTATTCATTCAGTTTTAATTCTAAAAACTAACAAAAGTACAAAATTGTATTAATGAGAAGAAATTAATATTAATGATTTAGCGAGATAATATCAAATGGTATTTCCTTCTTGTTAAAGTGTGACAAATGGCATTGTGACAGGGTAAATACTAAATTAAAATTGTTAATTTAAAGTTAATTAATTAGTTTTGTTAAGCAGTGGAATGGAAAAATAAGACTTTTGTGCTAAATTTATTTCTGCATGTATTAAAAGACTAGAAAATATTTCTTGGAAAAAAAACATTATTAATCGTTCTTTTTTTAAAATCTAATTTCATATAAATAATACTAATTATTTTATAGGCAATTTATTGCTATCAACAATTTAAATTAATTTAATTTAGTTTAAATATAGAAAAATCAAAAATAAAATTGATGGTACAAATGATTTTTCCAAAATTTGACATTTTATTTCATAATTATTTTTTTCGTTAGAAATTAAACAAACTAATTGCTAAACATTTATTAAGTAAAAAAAAAAAAATGGAAATTTTTTATATAGATTTAATATGGAAAAAGGAAGCAAGAGAGGGAGAGAGAAGGAGTTTCATCAGTGAAGATTTTTTGAATTTCTTTAGTTTAATTTAAAAATTTAACAATAAATAAGCTGCTTGTTTGCTTGAATCTTTCCTACTTTAGTAATTCTGTTAGAGAATCCTTCTGCTTGAATCTTTCCTACTTTAGTAATTCTATTAGAGAATCCTTCTGCTTGAATCTTTCCTACTTTAGTAATTCTATTAGAGATCTTTCCTACTTTAGTAATTCTATTAGAGAATCCTTCTGCTTGAATCTTTCCTACCTTAGTAATTAGAGAATCCTTCTGCTTGAATCTTTCCTACTTTAGTAATTCTATTAGAGAATCCTTCTGCTTGAATCTTTCCTACTTTAGTAATTCTATTAGAGAATCCTTCTGCTTGAATCTTTCCCTTCTGCTTGAATCTTTCCTACTTTAGTAATTCTATTAGAGAATCCTTCTGCTTGAATCTTTCCTACCTTAGTAATTCTATTAGAGAATCCTTCTGCTTGAATCTTTCCTACCTTAGTAATTCTATTAGAGAATCCTTCTGCTTGAATCTTTCCTACTTTAGTAATTCCATCGTGGAATTCTACTGCCCGATGCTATATTTTCTTAATACCTTTCTCAAAAAATTAAATTAAACACGAAGTGGAAAAAGAAAAAAAAAAAACCAACGAAGAAAACAGGTGAAATTTCAATAATAATTTATACTATTTCTTAATCTGTTTATGTTGCTTTATTGTTTATTTGATTTTGTGTTCAGTGAATTAATTCTGCTTGCATATTATATTAATATATTTTGTGTTTGTTTTTTCTTTATATTTACTAATTTTTCCATCTTTTTCAGCTAACTGTTTAATGTTATAACTAATAGTTTTTTTTTTCTGTTTTACTTAATTATTTTTTTCTTTTGTTCGGTGAAAAAGAATATTATTTATAATAAATTTAAAAAATTTTATTTATTTTAAACACGTGAAAAATAAGCATTAATTCATTTTTTTTAACCGTTATTTTATCCAAACGATTGATTTGAATTTGTACTGCACGTTCAAAATTAAAAAATTTTGATACATAATTGAAAGTAACTTTGAATCCTTTTTTACAATTTTTCCTATTCATTCATTTAATTGAAAAGTAACATTTAAAGACTTTTTAAATTTTTAGATCAGAAAATTTTCAGTGTTATTCTCTGTTATTCCATTTTTGTTTCAGCTCGACGATTAGCTCAAGGTCGTCAACGATTATTCAAGTATGGTTCATCATCTAATACATCATCACAACCATTTGAATTAAATGAGAAAACACATCGATCTACAAAGTATAATTTCAATTCATTCTTTTATCACAACGTACTATCAAAAAAATTAATTTCATTACTAAATTATCAGTCTTTATCTAATTTTCAATCTCTCAAAATAACGACAACTTACTTAATAACATTAAACTGTTGCAGTATTGAAATATAAAAAATTACTTAAGAAGTTAAATAGCAAATAAATGTTTGGTGTCATTTATTGTTGAAGTAGTTTAATTTACTGTTTTTGTAAAAGAAAAGTGTTCATAATTAAATTAATCTATAAAATACAATTTCAATTTATCTATCTATAAAATACATTTTCATCATTTAATAAGTCATCAGAATTATTATTTGTAACTTTGCTGTTTTGCTGTTTAGATTTTAAGATGCTTATAATATTATCGGTTTTGCAGAAATCTAAAATCGCCAAGAAATATTCAAACTGATGATGAAAAAGATGGAATTGGTGAAATGAGTATGTCTTTTATACTATTATTTACTTTTAATTGCTTCTTTAAATTGTCTTTTTAAATTCACAACAAAATGACAACAACATTTCACTTTATGTCTTTCATTTGGAATTTCAAAAACAAATCTCAGTTTAATTTTTAGATTGGCTCAAAATTTTCAATCATCTTTCAGTTCAAAATTTTCAATCATCTTTCAGTTCATGCACTTATTTTCAAAAAACCATTAAAATGGTTCATTTTGTACAATCATTGTTTTTGCCACCGTTTAAAATTAAAAAAAAAAAAAAAAGAAATTCAACTTTTGCTATTCATAAAACGACACTGTCCTTCATCTAAAGGAAATATGAAGTAGAAATAATTCAATAAATAAAGCCTAGAATTGTAATAATGCATCTTCAGCTTTTCTAAGTTTTGAATGCGTTAAAATTATTACAATAATGTCTTAACATTCTTATCAATAATTGAATCAATATTTTAAACAATTTTTTTTAAATTAAATGCACGAGTTTCTTACTGAGATCAAGTTTAATCCAATTGTCACTTTTGACTTTTCATTGCGATTTTAAGAAGTGTACAGGTAATAAACTTAAAATTTTCCAGTATTTGAAATGGCAAACTTGACAGGATGATAAATTAATCATTCATTTATTAAAATATTATTATTTGAATATAAAATTTTAAACGCCTACCAATTGATGATGAAAAATTTTAATTTAATTGATTTGATGTATTAACAGCAGTTGGAGGATGGATAGAAGGAACACGAGATGGAGTTAAACAATCGAATGAAGTTGTAGTATCACCAGAAAATGGATCAAAGATAAGTGTGATAACGCCGATACCGTCATCAACACAGGATAGCACATCACGACCTACTGTATCATGCATTCAGCAATCACAAACAAATTTTGATGAAGACGAAGAATTGATGTTTAGAAATTTTCCTTGGTTAAAGGTTTAATTTTTCTTATTTATAACTTAAAGCTAAAATTGCAGTAGAGTTAGATTTCGTATTCATCAAAATCAATTAAATTAAATCATTAGGTGAATAAGAATTACGATAGTATCAATAGTGAGATCAAAATTTCTTTCTAATTTGTCCGTGAACGTAAGATTTCATGGACAAAAGATTTCAATGTTATAATATGCGTGTATTTGACGTATAGTTACGTTAGTAGTTTATTACGTAATACATTTTGCAGTACATCAAATATTTGACATAATTTCATAGAAGATTCATAGAAAAAATTTTCATAGAATGATAATTTTTATTATAGACGGTAATTAAAATGGCAAATTCATTTAATTTGTCATGTACTCATGAACGTTTCTGTCATCCATGGTGTTTTGAAAGAGTTTATCGACAATGTTACCGTTTGACAGAAGCACTTCGGAAAGTGTACGGTGAAGATTTACCGCCCCTTGGACATCTTGATAAACGTAAAGCGATGACTGATGCATGGATCAATCGTCATGAAAATGTGAAAAAAGTATGACGCATTTATTGTTAATTTTATTTGCTAAAATGAATTTATCTTTAAAAAAAATATATCTAATTAACTTTATAATCATTTATTTTCATATGGTAAAACATTAATTTAAAGCTAAACTTAATCTCATTATGGTATTATTTAATTAATTTGCTATAGACATAATTATTTATTCTATAAATTGCATAAATTTGGATTTAATTTTGATAGCTACAGTATTGCTTTGACTATTATCATTATCATTATCATTAATGTAAACAAGACAAATCTTTCTCAACAAATCTATTCCACTTTTTGACTTTATAGGCAACACAACGACTTTCCGGATTATTCGCAGCACGTCGAGAAAATGCTGCTGTCCGGCAAGGTGCAATGCTTGATAAGCCACCAATGGCATTACGAAGTTTACTTATTGAAAAACTTAATGAAATGGAAGAAAATCGAGAAGGACGTATGGGAAAAAATAATTCTCAAGTAATATTTCTTTCTTTCTTCTTTTCTCACAAGAATATTTTAATTGTAATTAATCTTAAATATTATGAATTATTTTCTTTTATTTTCATCTTCTTCTTCCTCTTCCTTCTCCTTTTCCTTCATTTCTTTTCTACTTCTTCTCCTTCCATTATATTTCGATATAAAAATATTTATATAATTTATTTCAGTTAGTGTATGAATTAACATTTATATCCAATTGAATTGTATTAATGTTAAAATTTTGTAGGATTCAGATGATCTAATCGAAGCAAGCCAAGCTAACAAACATCAACAAACATCTCCTATGCTAACTTATATTGCCACACAAATGTTATGTATAGCTCATTCACCTTTTTCAACACTTCTTAAAAGTTGTCTTATATTACGTAATGAACATTATCGAGAAATGATGGATATCTGTTGGCATTTATTAATACATCGTAATAAACATATTGTCACTTCAGCTGGTTCATTTTCATTTCTTTCTTATAATAATTAAATATCAAATATGAAATGTGAAATGTGAGCAAAAAATAATATTTTAGATTTTTTAAATAATGATTTTTTTAAATTTGAAACTTAAATTTAAGAACTTACAATATTAGTAATTGGAATTTAAACAAAATTATTTGATTATCTATTTGATAATTTTAGCATCTCTTTTCATTGTATCATCAGTACGCAGTCCAGAAGGTACTGTTAACGTGATAAGGAATAGTTTGATAAATGATGATCCAAATATACGTACAGAAGGATTACGACGTTTTCATGCTTTATGGCGGAATCGTTTTCATGTTTGGTTGAAAATGGAAGATGGAGCACAGTTCGTCTTTAAAGTTAGTTAAAATTTAAAATTTCATTAATATTTTGAGCTTTCTACAATATCCCAGTAGTATGTTTATCTCAAATTAATTTCTATTTTTGGAAACTTTTTGCTACATTATGATTTGTTAGGTTCCACCACCAGGTATTGACTTTACATTACCTTCTCCTCCTGTTGGCCAAAATCAATTAGCTGTTGTTGATCCACCATGGATGCCTCATACGAAGACTAAAGTTGAAGAATTATGTCTAAAAGAGGAGGAACAAGCAACGGTACGTTATGTGAAATTAAAATAATGCTTAAAAATAGTTGAAGTAACTCTTAGTTTCTTCTTCTTTTCATTTAATTATTAAAGAAATGTGAAATAATTATATTTTTTTTTTTGTTAGCTTAATAAAAAGTAAAAGTTTTTTTTTGGTAAATTTTTTTTCCTTTTTTTAAAAATCAAATTTATAAACAAAGAAAAGAAGAAAAGCATTTGAGAGTCAAACAATAATGACAATGACACGAACACGTCGAAAACAAAAACAAGAAATGGTACGTCGAGCAGCGCATGAAGCAAATGAGAGAGAAAGTTCTTTACGTCAAAAATTTCCGTTTCGTGCTACAGCTATTGTACAGCAAGCAGCGTACGAGCCAGCATTGTTTCATCATCAGACGACGCAACAAGTTATGGCCGATAGTACCGGAGAAGGTTTACTCTTTTAATTTTATTTATTGCTTTATTTTACAGAAGTAAAACTTAAAAAAATTTTAATAATTTGAAAGCTGAAAAAAGTCCGTCAATTAAACTATGCAAAGTTTATGTCTGACAATTTTTTATTAATTTAATTTAATGTCACCACATTTATAAATATGTATTGCATCTGTTTTTATCAAAATCAAAATTTAAATGATGCATTTCAGAATGTGATATGCATCTAAGTTCATCAAGACAACAAATGCCAGTTGCGCAACCACTTTTTCCCTCATCGTTACTTTCGGTTGTACCGATGATCATCGAAATGTTAGATGATGTACAATTGGATAGTTCCGGAAAATCTGGTAATACTTTTCTTTTTATTATTATTATTTTTTGAGGAAGATTTAATTTATATTATTTTACAGTCTTACACGATAATTCATTTATGTGAAATTTCAAAAAAAGAGAAAAAAAACATTATGAACAATTCTTGTGTAAATCAGAGAATAAATAATAGGAAATTAGATTAATTAAGATTTAAAAGACTTATGTAGTTTTTTTTTTTCCATTAATTTCTCTTCTTAAAATCTAGATGAAATTTCAGTAAGTGATACAGTAAGGAAGATTATTTGGTCTTGTATTGTGGAAGATCCAGCTTTGTTTTTGCGTCATTTTTTAGAAAAATTAACCAATCGTGAACGTCAGGTAAGCTTATTGCTTCATTTTAGCCTAAATAACAAAGCAAAAAAATAAATAAACGTAAATAATATTGTTTAAAAAATAACGAAGAAAAAGTGAAGTTTTTTTTAGCTATATCATTTATTTAAAAATAAACTAGATAATTCATTTTTGCTTAGTAATGATATTATTATCAAAAAAATAGAAAAAAAAATAATGAAAAGAAATAATAAAGAAAATAAATTTTTGAATATTTTTGAGTAATATCCAACGAATATCATCGACCTGTTAGTAGAAATAGCGAGAAAAATCTATTTAAATTTTGCTAGAGATTACGCTTTAGCTTGAGCTTATTGTTCTAGAAAAATTTTTATTATCTAGGCAAATATATGACCTTTCTTTCTTGAAATATTTAGTCAGCAAAAGTTGAGTTTCATACGACTATTCACTGGATGAGAAATATTTCACGAGTTCATATTTGCTTTGTTTGATTTTTATAAATTTTGACAAATTCTAAGATAATCTGTCAAAATATCGTCAATATTTAGATTTGAATATTTGAAAGTTTTTTTTTTTTCTTTTTACCTATTTTTGCACATTTTTTTTACGCGTAGTTTGCTTTACGTTAATCGTGCATGTTTGTATTTTGACGACAATGTTATACGCAAGAGAAATTAATGTGATTGAAATTTATTAGTATCAGACATTTCATTTTAAAAAAAATGAAAGTTGAAAAGATAAGATAACAAATGAGATGTATTACAATTTCTTTTTTTTTTTTAAATTCATGAATTTATGATGACAAAAAAAGGGAAATATCCGGGAAATGTCACTGACAAACTTCATCAAAACATTTCGTTACAATTTAACTATGTGAAAAATTTAACTTAAACAAGTTGGAGAGAAGTTGAAAATTTTTTATACGTACGTGAAGCATTAATAAAAGGTGCCTAGCAATGAATATTCCAATCATTCACACACACACATATATATATTTACACATTGATAACAATAAAAATTTTTTGAACAAATATTTCATGCAAAAGAAAATTAAATAATTTCATTTTAACATTTTATTCATAAAATATGCTTACAAAAAAAAAAAAAGTAGTGAAAGAATTTGGTTGAATTTTCATTTTGTTGTAAAATTTAAATTGATACTTTTTTTTTAATTGAAGAAATGCATGTCGTATTTTTTTCCCTGTATACATCATTGATACCAGTAAGTGATAATGACAAACAATGCGACGAATCACTTTTTAGGAACATCTAATATCACTTTTACGAAAATTAATATTACGTTTTCAACCATTGCCATGTCAAACTGCTTACACCTTAATGAATTATTTCGTAAGTTATTGTTTTTCTTTTTTCAGTTTATGTACAAATATATTAATTTAAAATTTGAAATAATAATTCGGTTTTAATCTAATTTAAAAAATTTTCTGTTTTTTTTTTTAATATGAGAGGTATTATTTGAAATATAGCTGTCAAATAATTATAATTCAAATAATCAAAATTTTCCTTAGCTATTTCTATTCTATTTATTTATTTGAAAAATAAACAAATATTTTTACAGTTCGGTTTTGTGATGCATTATGTGCGAAGCCCATGCGATGGTAGTGATCGAGCAATTGCAATGGCATTAAGCATAATATGGCTTATTATTCCAAATGTTCATGGATTATATTTTAAAGATTTAAAGCAAACATTAAAGAAGGAACAATGTGATGTAAGTAATACTTAATCTATTTGATAAGTTCAAGTTGAAGCATTTCATGTTAACAATAATTCACTTAATGGATCAAAGCTAATAAAATTATTAATTCATTTAGGATAAGTACTTATTTCGGAATGCTATCTTAATTTGCTATGGAAATAATAAATGAGTAAAAATAAACAAATAATTATATAAATTTGATAGAACGATAAAATTGACAAGAAGGTTATTAACTACGAATGATGTGCATTTTTTTCTTTTTTTACCTTAAAAAAAAATTTGTTCATTTTCAGCAAGCATTAATGATAACGGCAAACGTTCCATCGGCAAAAAAAATTATTATTCATGGACCTGATAGTGGTTCCGGTGGAATTCCATCACAATTTCCGATTCATGAAGAGACACAATTTCAACAATTACTTAAGGATAGCATTGAATTTTTTAATATTCCCGAAAACGATAGTCAATATTATTTTCTTATTGATGCTAAAACAAATCTAGTTCATAATCCTTCATCATACGTTCGGTAAGTATTTCATGATTTCTTTGATTTTTTTCTGTTTTATAAAATTATAATCCGGTTTATCGATTTGGTATATATGCATTTTCAGGAACCTAAATAATATTCTCATCACAATGCTAGCAATGCATATGCAATTTTGTAAAATTTAATTTTTAATGAATAGCAGAATAAATTCAATTCCGTAAATGCCTATTCCGAAACACTCTTACGAGAGAGAGAGAGAGAGAGAGAGAAAGAGGGAGAGACAAAGATCAAATGAAAATATCAACAGGAAATGATCAAAAGATAAAATAATAAAAGAGAAAATGAAATATTAATTTATGATTTTGAAATATTAATGCTACATTAAATAGTTTATATTCGACTAATTTTACTTTTCCTTTAGAGATTTTTACTTTTTTCATCGTTCGTTGTATCCGCAATTGACGTTGGTTAAGTTAAATCCTGACGAAGCGCATTTTCGAATGCGTCAAATAGCATTTACGTATAAGCTTATAGAAATGGGAAAAGTATTACTAACACATAATGCTCTTGCTCATAGTCCTGAAAATGTTGTAAGTTAATAAATTTTATTCCATTCTTCTGCTAATTTCTTCTTTTTTTTTTTTAAATGAATTTTTATTTATAAAGTTTAAAGTTTTGTTAAATTTTTTTTTTAATTTTCAAAAAAATTCTGAAAAGTTTTATTTTGATAAATTCCATTTAGAAAAAAAAAAAAAAAGAAAAAAGAAAAAATTAATTGAAGTATAATTTTTTCAGATACCACAGCGAATATTTTTCTTGCACGATGAATTTACCCATTTACCATCATTTCCACGAAAAAGTTTGGAGACATGCTTTGGCATGTATAATGGTCCATTAGGCCGTGAATTATATTCCATCGATAGCACACATAAATTTGTTTGGGCTTTGGTAAATTTTTAACACTTTGCTTTTATGCCTTAAAAATTTTTTACACCTTTGAAGAAAGCTTTGGAACAATGGCTTTTGTTGTATAAAAGACAAAATGTTTAAGCTAAAATGTTAAAAAAAGACAAAATGTTAAAAAAATATAAATGAAAAAGATGAATATTTCCCTAATTACAAATTTTCATTTTATCTTATATTTTACTATTAGAATTTAAAAGTTTCATAGATTTCAAAAATTTTTAAAAATGAATTTAACTTTAAGCTAATGTCTGATATGTTCGCAAAAATGGAAAATGCTTTCATGTTCGGTGATTTACATTTATTTATCAATGTTATTAATGGTGTCACCTTATTACATTGTGAAAATGTAACAATTTTACGCCGTTGTATGGCAACATATCTATCCATGGCTATACATTTTAATACTCTTTTTACTAATCAGGTAAATTCTTTAAAAATTTAAAAACAAAATTTTTTTTTCCTTCAAAAGTAATGTTAATTCATATTTATGATTATTAGCTTTCCATCTTTTTTTTTTTTCGCGGAACTTTCAACTTATATAATATGCGATAGTTTGTTGTAAAATTTAAATTAAGAGTTTTCACATACAAAAATTTTCAAAAAAGAAAGAGATAGAAAGAGAGAGTTAAATAATGATTAAGCAAATTTTCGTTTGTAATAATATTGTTGCATTCTTATTTCTTTTAATGAAATGAAGTAAAATGAAAAATTGATAAAATTGTTGTAAAGTTTATCTTATCTATCACTCATTTGAGAATTAAATTTTCTACACAAATAATTGTAATATTGAAATTATGAATGCTTATTTCCTTTTTTCAGGGTTTTTTCCTGATAATGCCAACAATACTACTTTGTTACAGTCAACGACAGACTAATCCATTACTTTGTCGTACTATTGAATATGTTTGCAAACAATTTTATATCCTTCATCGAAAACCTTTTTTATTACAAATGGCTGGTTCGGTGGCAAATATTCTTGATATTAATGATGATAATTTTGAAGTAAATCCAATGAAGGTATTCGTATTATTTATTTCATTCTGATATTTTAACTCTGTTCATTAATCGATATGAAGAATGAATTTGTCGAATATTTGTTTTCTTTTTTGAAATTCATTTAATAATTTATTACAGGTGAAACCGAAATATTGGTTTAATTTATTGCATAGTATGGAAGATATGAATAATATGGATGATCCAATTGATCTATTAGATTTAATTAATGAAACAAAACCATTAAAAGTTTGTTGATAGTTGAATTTTTTACTCTTAAACTCAAAAATAAAATTTCTTAGAGGATAGTATTTTTAGAATAAAATACATTATCATCCACTTATATAATGCGTACTTCATTACTTTCTTTTGCATCAAAGAAATTTCGGTTTGAAAATTTTATAAAACTATAGCACAGCTTAACTTTTGATTAATAATGCATCAAAATCTGCTTCTCATTCAATTACACTAGAAATTATGGGCACAATTTTTTTTTTAGAACAAGTAAAAAAACTACTCATTTGTTTATTTCAAATTTTTTAGTGTAGAATAATCAAACAACACAATTCAAATGAAATAACTACTTGCGATAAAATTATTATGAGACTATATTTTGATAAAGGAAATGATCTTTTTGACATGTTTTCGTGATATTTATGATTATTCTTATGATTCATTAAATGATATCACAATATTTTGATAATTTCAGTCAAAGTAAAGAAGGAAAAATATTTTACTTAATGATATTTAACTAATTCTAGGCGTTAGATTTGTGTTATCGTGATGATCCTAATACGTTTAGCTTACTAACAGATGCTTTAGCAAGCGCTGTAACGGTATGTGCTTTTGCGCCTGAATCACGCCGTTGTTATCAGATGTTGGTAATGTTTTACTTTCACATTTCTACTTTTTTTTAAAAATTATTTCAATTTCTTATCATATATTACTTTATAATAAGACAATAAAAATGGAAAATATGGTGAAATTTCTTGTTTAATTATTTACAAATATACAAAAAGTTTATTAACAAATAACTTCTTACCTAAAATTCATATCTTAATGAAATTATGCTAATTTGTTATTGTTAATTGTTTTAGTTAGTAATGCAAGCAACGATACCATACTTCTTGGAACAAATTGAAAAGGATACGATAGAAGAGGAAAACAGTATGGTTGCTGTCAAACATGAAATATCTATCTATACGACATTATGTATTGAAATGAAAGCATTAGTGAATTGTTGTGATATTCTTGCCAGGTTTATTTTGTTAATTTAGTTTAAAAAGGAATAATACAGATTTATTTATAATAGAAATTAATATTCTTGTTTTTAATAATTTTTGATAAACATTTATTGATTAATAATTTAGAGGACCAACGCGAACGTTTGATATTGTTAATAGTGTCAGCGATCGTGGAAAATCCTTCATTGCAGATTCACCTCAATTCTTTGATCCACCAACTTTAATCGAAGATGAAACGAAAATGCATTATTCGTAAGTTTTTTTCCTTTTTCAAAATTTGTCGTTGTTCTGATTGAACAATTAAAAATAATCGAAATGAATTTCTTTACATAGGCGACTGGGTATTTATTCATTAAATAACTGAAATAAATGTAATTCAAGTATACACCATCTCCAAAGTATCAACCATTTCCTGGTGATGGAATAATGATATAGACATTCGAATTAAGAATTGAGTTAAGTAAATGATGACTGATGATTAAATTTTGATTCAAAAGAAAGATATTTTGACCATTTCGCATCAAGATAAAAAGCCTACTGCAGCAGAATTCCTTAGGTAATCACAAGTTTTCAGTAAAAAAAAGAAAAATTTCTACCATAATTTTAGTAAAGTAAATTTCAGGTCAAAATTATTAATTCATATATATATATATATATATATATATATATAGATTCCTATGAGATTAATATTGTAGAAGTATGAAGGATAAAAAGAATGTTGTTGGATCAGATGCTTTGGATAATACTGAGGGACAACGTGAAGTATTTCGTCGTCCACGTGATGCTCTTCTCGTGCTAGCAGCTACATTTATCGAGAAAGCAAAACCACGGCTAAAGGAACTTACTAAATTAGCATCAAATATTGAACATATCAAAATCCCGGAATTATTCGATCATAAATGCTATGTGGTGGGTAAATTAAAATGCAAAATTTTCAAGAACAATTCATAAATATTAAAATTTTATTAAATCAATCATCATATATACCGACAATTTTATAAATTCCACTGAAAAATATGTCTTCGACTCTTAGTAACGTTGAAAATTAATGAGCACTTAATTAGATCTGTAAAAAAAGAAAAAAAAAGACATAATGTGTTTTTTGTAGATATAGAAACATTTACTTAATTCAAAGATATTTATTTGTTTTATCATAATTTGTCATTATTTTTGGAGTTAAAAGATCTGTCGAAAATAAAATGCATTACAAATTTGACTTTTTTTTTCAGAAACTGAATGAAATTGCTCTTGCATTATTGAAAATTGCGCCTTACGATTTGAGCACAATAGCTTGCCTTGGATTGCAAAAGTAATTTTAATTCATTTATATCAATTTCTTTTGTATCGCATGTCTTTCTATTTTTTTTTCTCAAAATATTTTTATAATTTTTGCACTAAGCTTAAAATTCGTTAAATTCATTTTATGAATTCTGTTTTCGAAATAGCAATTTTAAAATTTTAACAGATACTTCTCTGTGATTCTATTAACAACTGATTGGTCGGTGGAAAGTAATCGACCAACTTTAAATTTTGTTTTGCGACGTTTGGATAAGACAATTCAAAAGATTGGCAAAAAATTTGTCTTTCGACGGCGAACAAACTGGACTGCATTAACAAATTGGCTTAATGGTTTACATCAAACGCTTGTTGCTTATCCTTATATTGCTCATTCACATCCATTAAAAGTATCCTATTACTTAAATATTTTAATTAAATTAAAAAAAATTCTTTTGCTACTTGATAAGTAAAACTTTAATATCGCACTTTTTTAAATGTATAAGAAAAGAAAAAAAAAACAAATAAACGAATAATTAATCATTTGATTGTTAATTTATTATATTTGTTTTTCATTTTCAGTCCATAACATTGATGTGTTTACGAATAATGATCGGTGATCCATTAAATGATGATCTTTTCACTCAATCCAATGCTGTTTTCTCGACTGTATTGCATGGTACTTCTCCTCCACAACCATATTGTAATGCAGTTCTTAAACTTGCTTCTTTTTTAATGCAAGCACTTGGTCAGGTACAAAATTTGCATAATAAATTTTTCAACTCTTAATTTTCTTTTTTAAAATTATAATTATAGTAAATTATAGTTTATTTAGGCAACATTTTCATTGGAGTATTTATGTAGTAGTGAAGGAATTGGACCAATAGCTGAACGATTAGAAGTTGTATTGTGTCATGTTTTAATTCCATTATTTCTTCAAGCTGCAGTTGCTAAAAATGGTTTCATTTCAGTTATTACTTTAATTTTGAAATTTTTAAAGTAGAATTTGTATTTAAAATGTTTAGCCATTCGATTACATCATGAAAAATGCTATCATTCATTCAAAATAGATGGAAATAAATTGAGGGGCGTAAATTTATATGTATTTCTTTTCTACAACAGTAATACTTCATTTATGGCAGTAATTATACATTATACACCAATAAATAGATGCAACTATTACATATTTAATTAACTGACTAATAGGATCATTTATAAGTGATTGTAAGTAATTTTCACTTTCTATTTATTTTAAGCTTTTTCGATTACTTTTATTGCAGATAAACCACAGTTTCAAACGAAAGACTTAATATTTTGCTTAAATTTAATGCAAAATGCTATTAATCCTCCATTGGCACGACAAAGTGTCGCACCAATAATGAGTTCGAATTTAGCATCCACTTTAATACGAGGAACCAATGCGCATGGTAAAATGTTTCTTTTTTTTTTTTTCCCTTTTTATAAATATAATATTTTACAAAAAATTCATTTTTTAACAATTGGGTTTTCTCGAGTAACTGAAGATTCTGCATTGAAAAGTTTTTTTTTGTTCTCTTCTAGGCTCAACAATTATTGATGTTTCTGGACGACAGGGTTCAGTATCCGTAACAGAACGTGGACATTCTGCTACTGTAACAACGCATCGTATTATTCGTGAAACAGTTTGTCAAGCTATATTTTTGGGTATATTTTTCCTGCAATTAAAATAAAAAAGAATGAAATGTACCAGTCATCTTTTCTTGATTTTTCAAATTAAATTTATTTTTTTCTTTAGCTCTCAAAGTGATGATAATAGCATTCGAGAAGCAGTTAACATTACTTTGGCCACGGATGTTTAAAGTAATCCGTGAATTGCTTGGCAAAAAAATTGGTGGCGCTGCATTATATTCATTTATTGATTTTATGATCGATATCAACTTGCCAATATCACTAATCATTCTACCATTCCTGCAAAGCAAAGTACTTTAATTGTTTCATTAAAGTAATTAGGAGAACATTAAATGTCTTAGCAAATTTCAGTTATGTTGTTAATTTATTTTATTTGCGCATAATTATAGATAGCACAGAAAGTTTTAACTGAACAGGAAGCAGCATGGCAAGCAGAATTTAAAGAACGCATGCAACTATTAGGTGCATCTGGGAATAAAATTCGTGGATATGGTTCCTTGCTAGCGGAATTGTCACAAGAGTTACAGATAATGAAGGAAGATTTCTCGATAAGAGCTTTTGGTATGCTTTCATAAGCTTTATTTTACTCCTATCGTTTGGTTAATTAATATCTGAAATATATTTTAATTTTTGTCAGTACAAAAACTTTCCAATAATTCGAAATGAAATAGCTTTTGGTATGCTTTCATAAGCTTTATTTTACTCCTATCGTTTTAATGTTTAATTCTCACTCATTCATTCATGCTATCCATGAAATAACTTAGTCTCAATCATTTAAAATATTTTTATTAGAAATTGCTCGATCTCATACACCAACAATTACGGAACTTCATAGTGATTCGGGTAGTTCACAAAGTACCGTTGGACATCGTCATTCAAATACAAGGTCAAATGCTAATGAACCAAGACGCTTATCAACAACAACAATTACAAAATTACATCGAATTGCTTCTTCAGTACATCGTAAAGGTTTTCCTCATATATATTGCTTCATAATTCCTATGAAGCAGCTTCGTTTTCTTTTTTTTTTTTTCTATTTGAAAATTACGATAATTGAATTTTGAGAATGATAATATAAGTGTTATGCGAGTTTTTTAAAATATTATTTTTATTCAGTTTTTAACCTTTATTGTTGCTCTAGCAAAGTGCACACTAAGTCATCTGGGAATCAATGTAACTGAGGAAAGGAATTTCTAGAAGCAGTACCTGAAAGAACCATCGTTGAAGGTACGGAAGAGGACAATTTACATGTGACATCTTCATCTACACCTGCAGCAAAAAGTTATTCAACTGGTTAGCATATTATTTAATTAGCAACCCTTTAATTAATGCACATGTTTGTGAAGTAATACCAAAGAAAGAATATCCATATCAATTGTTTTTATAAAATGAATGCAAAAATTCAAAATAAATTAGCTATCAGCATGAGAAAGAAAGGCTAGTGTAAATAGTATCAATATGTAAGCAATTAAATCTTAGTATCATTCATGCTAATCGTATAAAATCATAAATAACCTAAATTTGAATCAAACAATTTGTTAAATAAAGAATGGAAAATGAATTTCAAACAACTTTAACTGCTGTTTATTTTCATTTTTTATACCAAATTAACTCATCTGACATGCTATTTGTAGCTTGGAACTGGTCAAAAAGTTTTTAGGCGAAAAACTCATGGTAAAAGATAAAAGGGGTATATTTGATAATTTTTTTTATCAATATACTTTTGTAGTTCCTTTTATTTTTATTGTTCTCATCATTTGAATTTATTCGACCAAATTCTTTTTGTTTTAAAAGGAAAAGTAAGTGTTGTTGGTAGAGCTAAATAGCCTTACTAATATCTAATCCTTGTTTTTCAGGTTCTCAAAAACGTACAGTTGTTGAATTGCATGATTTGCCGCTATTTTCGAAATATCGTAAATCGCCAAATATCGAGAAAAGGTAAATCGTGCAATAATGATTAAATGTTTAGTTAGTCCACTTAAATTTAAATTTTTTATAAACATATTGAAAAAAAAATTTATATATGTCGAAAAAAGATTTTTCATATATACTAAATATTGAGAAAAAAACCTTAAACTTTATCGATATATATATATATATATATATATATATATATATATGAATTTAAGAATGGCTACTTCTCAAAGTAAAAAATGGAAGTTAAAATTTGAAGAGATATTATGTTATTACTTCAAAGTTTTTGATAAATTTCGCCTGCTAATCGACAGCTAGTAAACAAGTGCTTCGGTGATAACTTGAGGAAATAAATCGTTGCTTAAAAAATCGCAAAAATTTTGTAGGCAATCAAAATTGGAAACTCTTGTGCTTCCACTAAATTTGGAAGAACCACTTAATACGCCTTCAGAATCAGAGAAACCAAAAGGTAATCAATCGATTACTTATCTTATAAACAGAAGAAAATTCAAGCATAGAATTTTCAATTCCTTATACGATAAGAAATGATTGCACAATTATTGTATCAGCACTAAATAATGAGATCAGATTGATTGTCAAATTTGAAAATTCCAAGATTTTTAAACACGTCACTTGCATCCTTTTCAGTCGTTTCATTTACAACTCCAGTTGGACATCGACGTAATTCAAGTGATGACGAAGATTTTGTGGATCGTATCACGGCACGACATCATTACGTATGAAATTGTTTACCGTGCATGTTGTGTAATCTAACGGAACATACGTGTCTCATAATGGTTGTATCATTTGACAAGCTCGTGTTCGAGAAAATATTTACAAATTAAGTGTCAAACTGTATGATTTAATTAATTATTCAACATATTAATTGTGATGATCAATGGTTTTATTGTTTATAATTTGTATATAATTGTCTGATAGTAATAAAAAACTTCTCACTATTCTGCTTATTTAACAATTCAAAAATTAAGTTTTTTTCAAGAGCTTATATTGTTTTTATTTATCCATGAGTTAATGAATTTATTTCTCTTTGATTTGATGCAAAATCAAAATGCGTAGCTTTACTCATTTCTCCCATCAAATCATCAGCAAAACGTCGTTGTGATAGTGATTGTTCCGCTAAGATTGTCTTTTCTCGAAATAACAACATGCCACGATGAACCTCAATAAAAAAATATATTCATTAAAAAAAAAGCAAAAGAATGCAAAAATTTCAATTCAATCAAGTTTGCAAATTTATTTCAGTCAGAAATCAAGAAATACTTATTTAATGCAATTGAAGAATTGTCACAAGTAAATATGTAAAAAATCTTGCAAAAATTCGTTCCCATTTTATTTTCCGGTTACTGCTCATGTTAACTGTGATCGAATACAGGTATTACAGAATAAGGGAAGTCTATATCAAACATTACAATAACTGGTTGCATTTTACCTATTTATTCACATAGTATCCTAAAGAAATCTTGACAACAATTATCTTATTTCGGACTAAGATAAAATAAAGGAAGACACTTTCCTGGTTATCGGGAAAAACTTGGCTACTTAGCTAATTCGATAGATTAGAGCCAAGAGAAGAGGTAATCATTTATTTCTTACTTTCAACATGATATATCCATAGGTGCACAAGTTAATCAACAATGCCATAAATGCCAAAGTTGTAGATGTAATAGCAATAACAAACATTAATTCATTTTTACTTGATATCTCATAAAAGGATGAATCAAGCATTAATTGATTCTAAAATTATAGCATAAAATGAGCACAAAAAACTATTATTAAACACTATTAGATAAAATTTTTTATTAAACACTATTAGATAAAATTAGATTAATTAGATCATCATGGTGAAACAAGCAATAGTTCAAAAATGAAAACTATCAAAAATAAATTTAATTTTCAATTTATGAAATGTGATTAATTAGTGAGTTAATTAGAAGGAAATTCAAAAAAATTCATAGTTGATTCATAGTATCTTATAAGAATATGCCGAAATCAGTTATTAATTTCAAACAACTTTTAATCCAACCATGTTCAAAACGACCGCATTGTAAATATTAAATTTATAAACATCAAAAAAAAGTAAATATCAGATTTATAATTTGTGTAAGCACTGCGAAATACAAGAAAAAAAGTACAAATTGTAAAAAAAAATTTTTACCTGAAAATGGAAAATCATATCGGCTGTCAACCAAAATGCTAAATAAATTCAAATATTTCCATAATCCAACAAAAATTCAATTTTCCAACCTTCCCTGTATTTTGAAAATCATATTTTTTACCAAATTTATTGTCGAAATTAATTGAAAATGATATCAACGCAAATTTTACAGTATAACAGGCTAAAAAATTAATAGGTAAACTAAATCTTGTAATAGAAATTTGTAGAATTTCACCAATTTATGACTCGATTAGTGACAAGGAAATTTGAAATTCATCATTCGTTACCATTTCATTATTTAAAATTGACACTTCAAATAATTTATAATGATACCGTGAAAAAAAATTCAGGTAATTATAATAATAATAATAACATTACTTGCCGAAAATTGGACGATCATATGGATTGTCAAGCAAAATACTAAATAAATCCAAAATTCTTTTCTAATTCAAATACAAATCAGTTTTGCTGTTATTAAAGCGCCTTAAACTTACCAAATACATTGTCAAAAGTAATAGAAAATGGTATAAAGTAGTAATTTTAAAATAGAAAAAGCTAAAATTATTATTCATTTTTCGTCTAGAAATATGCCTGATTTCATTGATTTATCCTTTGTTTTAGGCTAGAAATCTTTATACTTATTTTGTTATCATTTTATTATTTAAAATTAAAATTTTTAGTGATTTATATTGATATTGCTAAAAAATCTTTACCGGAAATTAGATGTTCTATTATCACATTACAATTAATAATTATAACTAATAATAGTTTTGTTTCATTTCGAACACTGAAAATAATTTTAAGCACAAATTTATGTATGGATATTTATGTATGGTTTATGGAATTCATACAACCTCTAATAAGTTTTGTAAAATAAACCTGGAGATAGATTTCAATATTATCAAATTTTGTTTAATTAAATGTTGAAACTAATAAAGAATTGCAATTCATTTAAAAAAACATATATTTTTTCCTCCAGAACTTACTGATAATCCAAGTATTGCATCTCATGGAGTAAGTATTGAAGCAAATACCGCTTGATTCGTTTCAGAGCCAAAGTGAAGGTTATTTACTGGAATTACGCCATACTTCAAAAAATGATAAATTGTAATTGTAGAACAAACTTAATTCTAGTAAAAACTTAATTTTGTTTATTTGCAAAATATGCTATTATAGCCAAGTAGCATATTTTGCACATTACAAATGCACTATGGAAGTTACAAGAAGTAAATTAAAGGGACTGTCAAATCCTGATGCAAGGAAATATGTCAGAATTGTTGGATCTTCAACCGTTTTTCCTTTTATGTCATTTATAGCCGAGGACTTCAATTGTATATTCTCTTTTAAGACTCCGGTTGTAGAATCAATAGAAAGCAGGCTGGAATTTAAAATTTTCTGTTCAGGAATACGAGAAAATGCGCTAGATATCGCTACTTCATCTCGTCCTGTAAAAGAGGCAGAAATAGAAAGAGAAAGAGACGTCATCATTATTAGCTATACTGGAATGTCGTTGCAAATTCGGATCAAAGCCATAAATTTGATTTTAAAAAGGATTTATTTGAAACTTTATCTGCATATTCTCAAGAGAAAAAGTAACAAGAAACTTTGATCTGATATAAATCAAACCTTACCAAAAACGGGAATTGAAATTTGTGATCCACATCAGAATACAGGCACATACGAAACTTTGGTTAATTTTGTTACTGAATGATCAATACTCATGCATGAAGTCAAGAATTTTTAAAAAAAGTTATAAGGATCCAGAAGAAAGAAAAAAAGAAAGAAAACATGCAGTAATATAAAAGATGTTGCAAGGTATACAGAAGTTGGAATTAATGAGAACATAGCAATACAAAAATTGAAAAATAACAAGAATGCCTCAAAAATATTTGGTTTCAGCTTTTTAATAAGGAACCAAGATAAGATAAAAGGGAGTATGGTTACAAATTATGAAAATATATCATAGGGGAAATATATATTAGTAAGGCCTCTATACCTTTACATAAAGAGAGAACACTTAAATACCGTTGATGGACTAAGAGAATTCATAAAGAAGTTATAGATTCAATCAGTACTGAAGGTGGATCCGATCTAGGCTCGTTTCGATTCCACTTTTGAATGAAGAAGACATAAAGAAAGTTGCTGACAGTGCTGTATTTGTAGGAATTGAGGATTCCAGACCGGTTTTCATGGAAGTTTAATTGTTAACAAGTAGATGAAATATCAACCTATTGACTATTATGATTGCAGTGCTAAATGCTTGTTGCAGAATGTCTCTGCATAAAAAAGAAGTGTGTCTGAACATTGTATGAGGATTGAAAATATAACAACCATCGGTTGATCTCTCTCTTATTTAAAACATAGTAAGTTTATCGCTGCCAACTTCTTCAATAATATGCACATGAAATTCCACTTTTACGCAAGATTATATATATCTCGTATGCTGATCTGAGGCTAAAGAAGCAAAAAAAAAAAAAAAAAAAAAAAAATTAAAAAAGCAATTATGCTTCAAAATGGCAATTACTTTTCTCCCGATATCAAAATAATTAAACTTGGCCACATAATTAAATAAGATCCTTAATAACAGCGAAATAGCGCTTTAGCAAATTCTTTAATTAGTGAACTCTCTCAAGTCCTCTATCCTTTCACCAGTTCCTATAGCGTGTAACTTTATAAGTTTCTGCAAGTCCAATCACCACTCCTCCCATAGCAGTACCATCTAGCTTTGCTATAATAATTAATCCTGTGGCACTAACTAACCATTTTACTAAATGCCTCTAATTAGCTATAAGCATTTTGAGCGGTATTCGCATCAAGAACCAAAATAACATTATGAAAAACAATGCTATCCAACTTCTTTATCGTTCTATATATCTTTGATAAGTCCTCCACAACATTAACATTACTTTGTAGCCTGCCTACTCTATCAATCAGAACAACATCTATGCTATCTTTTATAGCTTGACTTACAGTTCTACACGTCACACTTGCAGAATCGTTACCGTATTCTCAAGTAACAATAAAGCAATCAGAATGTCCTGCCTACATGTTTAGCCGTTCACTATTAGCGGCCCTAGACGTGTCCTACGTAACGAGCATGACGGATTATCCTATATTCTTATATTCATACGTAAGCGTTACCTATAGTTGTGATTTTATCATTATTACTTCACATACCACCATTATTATACGTGGTTTTTTATTTAAAATTAGTGGTTGCACAACAGGGTTTAATATCGCTTCTATTTCGTTCATTAGCTGCTGTGTCATGATAATATTATGCTCAACTTCTGTATCAAATTTGATGCTTGCGAACTTTGGAAGTTTTATGACTAATATCCATGCTAATGAGTAATTTCTTTAATTCATTCAAAAGCGATTGATCTTTTTTTTTCTGAGAAAAAATACTTTTCACTCCACCACTGAAGCGAGAAGTTTTTAATGAGCCTCTATAAAGATTACTAAACAAACTCAAGAAAATGCACCTTTTGAAATTACAATATAAAGAATGACATGCACTACGTGTATTTGTAAAGTTAAATACAACGTTTTACGTGCATTTTTAAATTAAAATGCAGGTGATTTATAGGTTAATCTTACGAGTTATAATGAGAACCATTATGAAAATCCAAGAAATGTTGGTTCTTTGGACAAAAATGATCCGAGTGTTGGCACCGGTTTGATTGGTGCACTATTATACGGTGATGTGATGAAATTGCAGATAAAGATCGATGACAAAGATGTTATTGAAAATGCAAAATTTAAAACTTTTAGTTGTGGTTCTGCTATTGCTTCAAGCTTTTTATTAACAGAAATGATCAAAGGCAAAACTATTGAAGATGTAACAGAGATAACGAACACCCAAATAAGGAAGAGTTATGTTTGCCCCAGTGAAGGTACACTGCTCAGTGCTTGCTGAAGACATTATAACAGCCGCTATTCATGATTATCAAAGTAAACATAGTAAAAAATGAAAGCTAAGAAGTTATGAGTGAATACCAAGTTTTTTTTTTCCTAGTTAATAAATTATCGTGGATTTATATGTATAATAATAATGATAATTACCGCACAAAGAATTTTATTTCTTATGAAAATAATTTTGTTTTTATTATTTTCCTCTTTTCTTTTCTAAGAAAACGCTTTTTCTTAAAAATGAATAAATATTAGTGTTTTCTATTAGCAAATATTCAAAGAAAAATGGAAAAAATTTACCAGAAATAGATAAAGTTAAGAAATTTATTGAAACTTCTATTGTGAATCTCCTTTTGTTTTTTTTTTCCTTTGAAATCGCAACAAAAAATTTATTTATCAAAAAAAATAACGATTAGAGTAATTTTATTGATATTTAACACATTTGAAAAACTTTAAATGAAATTACTTTATCTTAATTATTATATCATAGAAAGGGAATAAAATTCAAAATTTAGACAATAAATTATAATTGACATAGAAACCTAAAAATATTATATTTCAAAAAAAAAAATACTATTTTATTTCAGTTATCAGAGTAATATATCACTGGATAATTTGTAACATTTCTTGTTAAAATTATGATAAATGTAGAACAAATTGATGATAACATTATTCGATTTTATTGTATTCTTTCTTTGCCCTTTATTTTGTACATCTGAAAGCAAAAAAAAAAATAAATAAAGTTAAGCGAACTTAATTGTTCTTAAATTACATCTAAACTTAGCCTGAAATAATTTAAGTAATCAGATCGAAATATACTTTTAGTATGAGCGGAGGGAGAAAACGATGAAGAGGGAGGAACAAGGATATGAAAAAGGGAGTGACATAAAAAGTATAAAAATTTTTTCAAAAATTCATTCAATCTTTAATTTATGATGATTTAAATCAACATTATACAAGAATGACATATTCAAACGAATAGTTAGAGATTTTCGCTACTAGATAACTACCTTTCTTAACTACCTTTTTTTTGATTATTATTTAGATATTTGTTTACTTTTTTAGTTTGTCAACAACAAAAGTTCTTTTTACCGGTTTTTGATAGCCATTTGTTTACTTTTTTTTGCCTTTATCACGAAAACTGCGGTAATAATGTAATGATTTTTGGATTATTGACAAATTGAAAAATTATATAAAATTTTGAATTATTTACAAAATTGCTTACTTTCTGGAAGCATGCCAATATGAAGACATCGTTTCATGCGACAACTACGGCATATCTTTCGATAGCCAGTGGCTGAAATTTCAATATTACGGTATGTACGATGAGAATGATGGTGATGATGGTAATGTTTAATCACCATGACATATTTTTAAAATAATATTGTTAAAAAAATCTTTTAATCAAATCTTAATTTTCCAAGTAATTTTTTTTTGAAGCATTTCAAGATATGAGCATATGACAACCGTATATTTCCAAATTTCAATTATCCTATTTTTATTGAAATTTCAGCCACTGGCTATCGAAAGATATGCCGTAGTTGTCGCATGAAACGATGTCTTCATATTGTTTATTGCTGGCATATCTAATACACTATCAACTCCTTCCATACCACAACAATCTGCACCACGGACAATTTCTTCAGTTATAACAAAGAAAAACAACCGGAGAACAACTATGTCAGGTTTGTCTTGCTGCTGCTTCAAATGGATCGCATTTTGGAGCAAAAACATGCGCTGCATGTGCTGCATTTTTCAGGTTAACTTATTTTTTTTTTGCTAATAATAATTTAGCAAAATATAATTATTATTTTATCCAATTTTTCTAAACAATTCAATTTTTTCTACTCGCCATATTTTATAATATCAATTTTTTGATTTCATATTCAATTTTCCTTTCTTTGTTCAAAATATTTGATTATATCAGTTATAAATACTTAATGTTTTAAAATTTTAGTTTAATATTTTATTTTTCTTATACTTTGTCTTATACATTTTTTTAAATTAACATCGCATACACTAAGATAAAGTTCCTATGCCTAGTGCTAGACTTTTGTATCATTTCAATTTCAATGACATATTGTCAAGTTTTAAATTGCTGTCTAATTTTAGAATTTCATTTTCGAAAATAATACTAAAAATTTAAAAACATTAAGTATTTATAACTGATACAATCAAATATTTTGAACAAAGAAAGGAAAATTAAATTGTTTACAAAAGTTGGATAAAATAATAATTATATTCTGCTAAATTATTATTAGCAAATAAAAAAAAAGTTAACCTGAAAAATGCAGCACATGCAGCGCATGTTTTTGCTCCAAAATGCGATCCATTTGAAGCAGCAGCAAGACAAACCTGACATAGTTGTTCTCCGGTTGTTTTCTTTGCTATAACTGAAGAAATTGTCCGTGGTGCAGATTGTTGTGGTATGGAAGGAGTTGATAGTGTATTAGATATGCCAGCAATAAACAATATGAAGACATCGTTTCATGCGACAACTACGGCATATCTTTCGATAGCCAGTGGCTGAAATTTCAATATAAATAGGATAATTGAAATTTGGAAATACACGGTTGTCGTATGCTTATATCTTGAAATGCTTCAAAAAAAAATTACTTGGGAAATTAAGATCTGATTAAAAAATTTTTTTAACAATATTATTTTAAAAATATGTCATAGCGATTAAACATTACCATCATCACCATCATTCTCATCGTACATACCGTTATTTAACTTTATATCACAACGCTGTGATCGCTTGCAAATATAGTTCTTTTCGTCGCTAACTGTTCGTCTGAAATAAACATTAATGCTCTGAATTTCTTCAGTATAATGAAGATCAAATAATAAAATAGTATTATTTTCGAAAATGAAATTCTAAAATTAGACAGCAATTTAAAACTTGACAATATGTCATTGAAAATGAAATGATACAAAAGTCTAGCACTAGGCATAGTAACTTCATCTTATCTCTATGCAATGCTAATTTAAAAAAATGAATAAGACAAAGTATAAGAAAAATAAAATATTAAGCTAAAATTTAAAAACATTAAGTATTTATAACTGATATAACCAAATATTTTGAACAAAGAAAGGAAAATTGAATATGAAATCAAAAAATTGATATTATGAAATATGGCGAATAAAAAAAATTGAATTGTTTAGAAAAATTGAATAAAATAATAATTATATTTTGCTAAATTATTATTAGCAAAAAAAAATAAGTTAACCTGAAAAATGCAGCACATGCAGCGCATGTTTTTGCTCCAAAATGCGATCCATTTGAAGCAGCAGCAAGACAAACCTGATATAGTTGTTCACCGGTTGTTTTCTTTGTTATAACTGAAGAAATTGTCCGTGGTGCAGATTGTTGTGGTATGGAAGGAGTTGACAGTGTATTAGATGTGTCAGATGATAGTAGCGAATAGCTGAAGACTTAATTAAAATTGAAAATAGTTAAGAGATAAATTGAAACAAAAATAGAAAAAATTTGAAATTAAAAAAAAATGAGAAATTTTAATTTGAAATGATATGAAAAATTACCAGAGAGCAAACGAACGTTTTGGGATTACGGCTACTTATTTAAGTGTGAATTTCTTTTCTTAAGATTGTAGATGGATTGTTATTGTAATCAAAAAATACGAAAAAAGTGAAACCGAATTTAAAGTATAACAAAATTCAAATTTAAGCACAAAGCTTTCATGCATTTCCCAACCAAATGTTCTTACGCTTTTAATAATTAACAGAGTGCAAGTTTAATAACTGATAACTTAAAAATGAAAAAGAATTTGCTCCTACAAACCAACTTGAAAAAAATTAATGGAAAGTAATAAAAAAATGCTCCGACCGGTCGATGACTCAGAATGAGGATATATAGCTATATATGAGACTGTTTGTGTGTGCAACGCCGTCTAGGCCTTTGGCTGTGTGCGCACGTAGACAAAGAAAGTCCTTTGTTTCAATAAGGTTAGGACGGAAATGAGCAAAAGCGAGCGGGTGGGCATTTTTAAAAAAAACTGTATAAACCCTAAGTGTAGTGCTAATCAATGATTGAGTGAATTGGGGCCTCAGCGTTGGAGTGTGTGCATATGAGTGAGGAGCGAACGGGTGGGTAGAGACATCTGAAGAAACCGTATAGTGCAGACACTCCGTTCGCCTTTAATGAGGGTAGCACGGAAATGAGCAAAAGGGGGCGGGTGGGCGCACACAGCGGCTAGGCACACACATTCGCCTTCATCAATACAAAATATATATATACATATATATAATTACACTAAAAAAACTGCATTAATCAATGTTAATCAAGCCATTATAGCCTAAATTTTGTTTTCATCTTACTTCTATTTATGCCTTAATTTAATTCCCATTCGTCCAAAAAACAATACCATATACAAGCGGAATGTCAAAACATTTCATTCATCATTGAAATTTTGCTTTAAAGTTGCATAAAATGTCGAAAAACCTTGACAAAATGTAACCAGATCAAGTATAATGCAAATAAAAGTAATCAGTTAAGTTCAAAATATAGTTATTTTAAAATGAATAATATTTTTCTAACATCTTTGGCACTTAATTAAAACAGAATTTAGAAAAATTAAAACATTTTTTAATATTTAATTTATAAAAGCTTTTAAAAATTGTCGAAATTTCTTAAATATCCGTACTAGAACTGTAATTAAAATTAAAATTAAAATTAAATTTGAATTAAAAATTAATTTTAATTGTAGGAATGAATTAAACCGTGACAAATTTAAAATTTAATTAATGTTGCATGTCAGATATTGATTAAAACTTAATTTTTAAAGTTTATTTTATTATTTTGAGTTGTCAAACGACCAACCGTAAATGACCAGCACCTGTGCAATGCATATAAATTAATCAGTTAAGTTCAAAATATCTATTTTCTTTTAAATGAATTGATTTTTTTAAATATTTTAACATTTAATTAAAATGAAATTTGACAAAAATGGGATTTATTTCGTAGTTTAGTATGCAAAAACTTTTAAAAATTATGCGATTTTCATAACAACCAGTATTTAAATTTGAAATGAAAATTAATTTTAAATGTAAGAATGAATTAAAACCGTGTGACTAATTAAATATTTTATTGATTTCGGTACTCAAACATTTATCAAAACTTAATAATTTAAGTTTATTCTATTATTTATGCTGGTCAGATGAGAAGAATGTATGTGACCAGTACCCATGCAATGCATATAAATTAATCAATTAAGTCGAAAATATCTGTTGTTTTTAATGAATTACTATTCCTAAAAAGTTTTAGCACTTAATTAAAAGAAAATTTGATAGAACTAGGATTTGATTCCCAGTTTAATATGCAAAAACTCATAGAAATTGTAGGTTTTTCATCAAAATCAATATTTAAATTTCAAATAAAAGTTAATTTTAACCGTAAAATTGAAATAAAACTATAAATAATTAAAAATTTTGTTAATTCCGCCACTGAAATATCATTCAATACTTATTTATTAAAGTTTATTTTATTATTTAATGATGTCAATTAACCACAATGTATGTGACACTTTCCGCACTGTGCATATAAAATAATCAACTAAGTTCTATTTTTTAATTTTTTTAAATGAATTGCTATTCTTTAAAAGTCTTTACACTTAAAAAAAATGGAATTTGACAATACTGGGATTTATCCGACAGTTTAATACACGAAAATTTTTAAAAAATATACGATTTTCATAAAAACCAATATTTAAATTTTGTTTTTTTAAAAAATCTTACAAATTATAAGATTTTTTGTATATTAAACTGAGAAATAAGTTCTAGCAATGTTAAATTTTACTTTAATTGGGTGTTAAAACTATTTAAAAATATTAATTAAAAAAAATAGACATTTTCAACTATATTGATTATTTTATATGCATTTTTTTGGGTACGGTCATGTTCGATTTGGTCACTTCACAGTAATAATAATAAAATAAAAACTTAATTATTTAAATTTTTAGCAATATTTCAGCAGCGACATTAATAAAAATTTTTAATTGGTCACGGTACAACTTCACTTTTATAACTAAAATTAATTTTTAAAAAAGATTAAGATTTTGTTCTTTTTTTTTTGAAAATCTTACAATTTGTAAGATTTTTTGTATTTTAAAGTAGGAAAAAAGTTCTAATAATGTTAAGTTTTTTTTTAGTTAAGTGTTAAATCTATTGAAAAATATTAATTCATTGAAAAAATGGTTATTTGCAATTTTATTGATTATTTGATATGCATTTCTTTGAGTGATGATCATGTTTGCTCGGTCATTTCACAGCAATAATAATAAAATAAACTTTAAGAAAAACTTAATTATTGAAATTTTTAACAATATTTCAACAGCGAAATTAACAAAATTTTTAATTAGTCATGATTCTAATTCATTTTTGCAATTAAAATTAATTTTTAATAAAAATTTAAATTTTGTTTTCTTGAAAATCTTACAAGTTGTAAAATTTTTTGTATATTAAACTGGGAAATAAGTTTTAATAATGTTAAACTTTATCTTAATTAGGTGTGAAAACTATTTAAAATATCAATTCATTTTAAAAAATAGATATTTTCCACTTTATTGATTATTTTATATGCATTTTTTGGGTGGTGGTCATATTCCGTTTGGTCACTTCACAGCAATAATAATAAAGTAAATTATGAAAGAAACTTGATTCTTGAAGTATTGAACAATATTTCAGTAGCGAAATTAGTAAAATTTTTAATTATTCACGGCAGATAAATCATTTCTACAATTGAAATTAATTTTTAATAAGAATTTAAATTACTTTTTTTTCTGAAAGTCTTACTAGTAAGACTTTTTGCATTTTATCCGTAATACTATGTTTAAGACTTTTGAAGAAAGCACTTCAGGATACCCTAAAAAACTAACAAATTTTGACAAAAATTTTGGCATTTTAGGATTGAAATAGAGAACTTCTATATATATAAAAAAAAGATGAAGGATATATGGAAATCATATTTATGTTTAAGTAGAACATCCAATCATATAATTTGCACTAATTAATTGCAGCGTTTTAAAAATCTTAGAAAATATCTCGCTATGATTTTGTTAGATTGCAGATGAGTTCATCTTTCTAATTGTTGAAAAAACTTCAATTATCATATATAATTCGAATACTGTAAAAGTTCAAATAAGATTCTTTGCAAAGAATTACTTTGAGCACACTAAAAAATTGTGCTGTTGAATTTTGTACATCGAAAACTCTTTCCCGTATTTTTTCTTGCATAATTTGTGAAATTGGCTAGTCTTCCATATATAAGCCTAAAAGTTAATTTCATAAAATCATCTAACTTTTAACTGCAAAGGATTTAGAGATTTTAATTTGATACTATAAAAAGAATCATTCACATATGTTACTTGATAACTGATGCATGAGTAAAACATTATTTACTTAAAACAAAAAAGGAAAAAGTTGTATTATTACTCAATCACTGTTTCATTTAATCACCATTACCTAATTTGGAATCTTTTAATCTGGATAAGTTTAAAATTCATTATAGTTAAGCTTAATGATTGAAATAAATTCATTTTTATTTTAGCATATTACCTAATCTTGCTACCGCTATACCTATTAGCGGTGTAAAAGCGCTAATAGAATGTTTATTGGATGTTCATGTTGACCAGACAGTATCATTTTCAATTTCATTATTATCACGAACAAATGCAAAACTATCTTTTGATTGCTGTAATCTACGACAATTAGTAATAATTTAAATAGAAATTCAATAATTTCTATGAAAAGTATCTAACTTTGCCGTAAAATAAAAGGTATAAGAAAAGAGATATAACTGCCATTTAAATTCATCCACAAAAAACAAAAAAATTGAATTATGAGAATATATCGAATAGTTGAAAAAAGAGAATAATTATAGATTGTTTCATTTAATTTTTGACTTGAATTTAAATTGCTGTGTACTCATTGGTTGAATGAATAAAATACTGAAAGTAATTTCTCTAAAATTAAATGAAACAATCTATAATTTTTGAGTCAAATAGTGAGCCAGGCAGGCAAATAGAAACAATGCAAATATGCCAAATGAGCCAAATATTGAGCCTTGAAGGAAAAAAAGAGGTTATATCGAATAAAATTTGAAATATCTTTAGCTTGATTTTCATTTTCATTTTTTTCTTACTCCGTGACTAGTAATTCGATATTGGTACATTTCAGACAGTTGATATTAATTGGCCAGCAAAAAAAAAAAAAAGAAAAAAATTGAGTAGAGCAAACACTGTACTGTACGTGCCAATAGCTCTCAAAAATTCCGTAAACTAATTTAAAATTCTCTGAAATTTCCCACATTCATCGTTTAATAAAACCGGTCTAAAGTACTTTCTGAAATGATACAATCAGCCGGATTTCCTTGCTGATGAGTCAAAACCTCACAATTTGTAAGAGTTTTTGTGTATTAAACTAGGAAATAAATCCTAGTATTATCAAATTTTGTTAAAACTATTAAAAAATACCAATTCATTAAAAAATATTTTTTTTTCAATTTAATTGATTATTTTATATGCGTAGTGCAGGAATTGGCCACATATATTGTGACCATTTGACAGTATAAATAATAAAATAAATTTTAATAATTAAGTTTTGAACAGTATTTGAGTAACGGAATTAGTGAAATTTTTAATTTGTCATAGTTTTATGTTGATGAAGCTATTAAAATGTAAGTGGTTGAATTTCAATATAATGACTTCAAGGTATTAAAATATATTCGTCATTATCGTGATTTGCTTGGGAAATATTAAGTGAATGCACTAAATCTCAATCGATTTTTATGAAATGTTTAAACTTTTCTCATTTTGAGACCAATTTGTTTGCATTTATAGCGATGAATTACGCATCCAGTAAAAGTCAGAGATTGTAATATGTAGTAATACTGATTACAAGTGTACATATTGGTAGAACAGTTTATTAGTGTAGGGAAAAGTCGAAAGTCGATGCCACCTTTTCGTACCAAAGTTTATTTTACCACAAAAACATTATTTTGAAATTAATTTCAAAGTGTCTCGGAAGAAATAAGAAACTTAATAGAGAGAGAAATTCCTTACGACTCAAAACAAATTTTTCTTTTCCATAATTTTTCCTAAATTCGTTCCCGATTTCCCACTTTTTTTAATCCCAAATAGAGTTTAAAGTAAAAGTGGAGGGGGAAAAAAAAACTAAGGCAAGTTGTTTATAAATTTACAACATAAAATTTCAAAATTAATGAGACCAGAAAATGTATGTATTGACAGGAACAGCTCAAAATAAAAACAATTATTTACATGATGATAATCACTGCTGTGATTGTTGTTGCTGTTGTTGGTGTTGATGTGGCTGTTGCTGCTGTTGTTGATGTTTCCCAAAGATATCTTCGTATTTTGTTGCTGGTGGTAATCGTGACGACATTTCTTTCACTTCATGCATTTGTAAAAAATAACTTAGTTGTCGTCTTATACGTCGCAGGTAACGTAGACGTTTTCGTGGCACTTGTCTTTCAATTTTTTTCTTTAATATTGCAAACAAATCGTTGTCAGTCTGAAGAGAAAAAAGTAAATTATTTTTCTACATATCTCATTATAGTGATTGAAGTAATATTACAGATAGCTAAAATAAAAATTTCAATTTCAAAGCGAAAGATCATAAATGATGTATAATGATAAATTTATTCTGTATGGATGAATTTTACTAAATACAATTTTTAAAAACTGAATATACCTCAACATCTCCACCACCACATTTTTGTCCAGCATGGGAAGAAGAACATTTTGCATCATCACTTTCCGTATCTGAAAAAAAAAAGAAGCTATTTTGAATTAAACAAAGGAAGTTGTTTAAAATCCTTTACAGTTAGTAGAGAAAATTGTTTTTTTCAAATTCCAGAACTCGCTCTTCAAATTAACAGTTTTAGGAGTAACAGTTTTTTTTTTATCAAATAAAATTGAACTTTACTTTGCGGAATGATTCTATTAAGACTTTGCCTACTCACCCGATGATTCATCATCATCGCTGTCACTTTCATCTGAGAAACTATTTCGTTGCTGCACTTGGTTGGAATTACCAGAAGGATGTACTTCAGGTGAGCTAATCGGTGAGGTTGTTGAATGAGCAGAAATTGGTTTCGATACTTGCTGCACGGTACCAGTTCCATCAGCACCTTTCTGTGAATTATTTTCCATTTGTGCTGTCCTATTCTGAGCATATTTGGCCACTTCTGCGACTGCCGAAATCACTTCCATACGCATATCCGATGTTGTAGCACCCTGATTCTCCATTTTTATTTCGATGCCCTGATAAATTCGGTACGCATAGCCATGAAGGCTCTGATTTCTACGAAATCTATCTTTACTTTGGTGGTATAATTTTTCATTTAAATTCCCGTAAATGCAGGTTCACAGAAAGCATAAAGTTGAAAGAAAAGAAAAAAAGAAATTACTTCTTTTGATGCTTCGCCATTCTGAAATGCCAGATGAGGATTGCTATAACAAGCAGCTGCACTAGCCTACAAATATCTATTAGTTTAACATCCTCAAACCAGAAACTTGTACGTTGAAATTTTTTTCTGCCTATCAAAATTCTTGAAAATGACATTTCTTCGCAAAAATGCCCGAAAAGTTTAACGTATTTGAAATAAAAACTGGAATTATTTAAAAAAAGCTATGATAATAGATAAGATTTGTTCAAGTAAAGGAATCGATAACCTCATGATCAAACCGATATTATGATTATATTTCCAAAAATATTTTCAAATAAATTAATAATCGATCTTATGCATCTTGTCATAAGCAGAATAAAAACTGGTTGACAAAATAGACAAACTAACATCATGGACACCATTGAAATCGCCTTGCATACGAAGTATATCGTTTAAAAATTGTTGAGGATATGGCGCTGCTGAAAATCCAGTATAATACTGCTCATCCATATGCTGTAAACAAAAAAATTTAATAAAATTTATGCAATATTAAGCATAACAAATGTTATCATTGCAATAACACATTCTAGGATTTCTCAAAATTATGACAAAATTTTGACATACTTTTCGTTTCTGAACCGATACAGTTTGCCGTGTCAGAGGATCCATTACATGTTTCGATGGTGGTGCCTAAAAAAAAATTATGATTCAACAGTTTGCTGCTGCTGCTGAATTACAATGGCACAATGGAAATTGTTATTTCTTAGCCAATTCATTCAAATATATGGTAAAAGGTTTTAACACAAATTTTTTATGTTTCATTTCTTAAATTCCAGGTTAACATTTAATATGAGCGATATGAAAATGAAAATACATCATTTTAGAAGAAAAAACAAATAACGCACCATCATATCAGCAGGAGCGGGATGCGAATGTCCTTCTTCGGTAACATATAACTGCAAAGTCACAACAAAGATAAATTACACTTTAACTTGGACGATAGTATTTACTGAGGAAGGAAAAGATTGAAATTTATTAAATAATTTGAATACCTGTACACAGTCGAGCATTACTTTGGCTTTCATCGACGCATAACAAGGTTCATATTTGCAGTGATAATACACGATGTTATTCACTTTCTAAAACAAGCCAATCGCTGGTCGTCAAGATCGTCTGGTCTTTTGTGATGTTAACGAAAATGGCAGTAGTTTTTCAAAAGTATTACTAACAACAAAATGGAAAGAGCATATAACAAAAAAATAATGATATATTGGAAATAATAAAAGGTCCCCTTAAATTTTCAGACTAAGCAAAAATCAGAAAAAAAGGATTCACGTGATGATGGCGATACCAATAATCGCCCAGTTTTTCTTCCCAATCGCGAAATTCTTGCATTCCAATTATCGACTTTTTCACGTAAAATCGTCTTTTTTCACGTTGCGAAACAGCGACATTCGTTGGTACCTGCACAAATTTTCATCTACTATTCAAGAACATAATATAGGAAAGTTTTTTAGATTGTACTGAAGTCAATAATCAAACAATGCTTTAATAAATAATCAAAATTAACTCACTATACTCACCATTGACGGTGCTGTTGTACCATCGAACCCGGCATGCATGGTTAGTTACCTATAAATATGTTTCATTAATTTTGAATTCAATTTTATTTTGCATACTGTTGTTAGCGTAAATTATCGTATAATATATATATTACAATATATATATATTGTAATATTTGTTGAAATTCATATAATTGTTAAAAAGTTCAATATTTTTTTTGACGATAATTAAATTTTAACTTTAAATGTAACAAAATCGATATTCATTTTTAGATGTTATTAAAATTTCGTTGCAGTTGCTTCTACTACAATTATCAATGAAACACTTTTGAGGTGCTTATGTGAAACTGATGGTAAAAGAATGTTTGATACAATGAGAAATTAGTTATAATGTAATATAAGACTTCATAGACATCGTTATCAGTAGTGATAACAGCAAGAAGGCATATAAGGATGGATGAATGATTTGAACAGTGAAAAAAAGAGAAAATTTTGATAACGATGAGTAGTGGAGGATAGGAATGATAATAATAATAATATATAATGATAGTAGTAGTGATAGTGATAGTGGTGGTGGTGGTGGTGGTGCTGCTGCTACTGCTGGTGTTGGAGATAATGATAGTGATGGTAATAGTGATAGTGATAGTGATAGCAGTAGTGATGGTGACGGCGATGATGATAGTGATGGTGTATGTTTGCAAGGATGAAAAGGGAGAAGCGGCGCTCATCGACATCAACATTACTAGGCATTTCTGCTGCACAATGATATCATCAGCCAACAACAGCACAATCATCAACGATGACGACCAACTATTACTGCTAGCAACATCAATACCCTTCCTGTATCCTTCTTTGTCACTCTTCCCTCAACCAACCCTGTTATTATTATTATTATCATCATCATCATCATCATCATCATCAGCAATAACCTCTGTCATTAACAATCAATGACAGCAATAGTTAATAACAGCAGCAATGGCAATTATCCTTCATTTGACAATAATTATTATAGTTAAATATAAGTTAATAACAATGACGATAATTACTGTATGTTTACCTCTTGCATATATTTTATACCAAAATTTTATTCGCTGAATTATAAATTAGGGATATTCTAAAAACTTTTATTAAAAAGTGAAAAAAAAAAAGACTTAACATTCTGAAAAAAAATAGAAACAAAAAAAATTTTATAAATAATTACATAAAATAATTTCAAATTTATAATTAAATATTTTCAATACTTTCATTATTTTTTCCCTTTTTCCTCACATAATAAGATTAAATGTTATTTAAAAAAAATTCTAAAATTATCCTCTTTAATCGTTTCTTTCTTTCTCTCTTTCCCTGTCTGTCTTGATTCTGCTTAAGTAATATATAACTAAGGTTATCACTGTTGTTATCATTACTACTACCAATACTACTACTAGTACTACCATTACTACTACAACTAATTCTACTGATAATGATAATGATATTGACGTTGCTGCTGCTGCTGCTGCTGTTGTTGTTGTTGTTATTGTTGTGATCCATTTGTGTCCTTCGTCCCAACTTTCATCATTCTTATCGTCGTCTTCCTCCCTCCATCTTTATCGTCCTTGTCATCGTCAACGAGTCGACATCGATGTGATGCTGACGATGATGATGATGATGATAGTGACGATGGCAATGGCAGTGATGGTAGCGGTAGCAGTGGTGGTGGTGTGTCATTAGAGAGGCAGGCAAGTCCCCTTGCCTACCTCCCTCCTAACCCCTTTTTCACCTCTTTCCTCCTCCTATTATTACTACTAAATTCATCGTCAACATCAACAGCAAACCAACATTACCCATTGTCGTGGTCGTCAGCATCATTGTCCCCAATATTACTAACAAATTTTGCATTTATGAAATATTGGAATGAATGTTGGTTGAATAAATAGATTTGTTTGGTAAATAAATAAATTTGTTGGACAAATAAATACAATAGGATTTGTTATAAATCCTACTTACAATTATTATTATTATTATTATTATTATTACATGCAAAATGTAGCATTGTTCATTATTATAATAAATGTTATGTTGCGTTAACAATAATATATACATGGTTAATAGCATTTCAATTGATAATATAATATGGATACTAACAATACTTAAAATTAAATTTTAAAGAAAAAGAAAAAGTAGGAAAAATAGAAAAAGAAGTGTTATTGGAGACAGAATGTCTCTGTAGCTGAATTAAAAAAAAAAGAAAATAAAATGAAGTAAATTTTAAAAATTAACATGATCATGTGAGAGCAACTAATTATAACTTTTGCCATATGAAAAATTCAAGTTTCTTCAACTTACCATTTTTATTTCACTACTTTCTCACTTTTCAAAAAAAAGAAAAAAAAAGAAAAGAAAAAAGGAACGCAACAATATCAAAGTATAATTTGCAAATAAAAGAAAGGTATTGCAGATAGGAATGATTTCAATCAAATTGTTAGTTAATTTAATTAAAAATGAAAAAAAGAGAAAAGAGGAGAGAGAGAGAGAGAGAGAAAAAACAGAGAGCGAGGTAATAGGTAGTAGCAAATTTTAAAATTTAAACAAATTGAAAACAAATCCTACGCGAAATTCACTCAAACATTCACTTTAATAAATGCTCGAATATGATTTTTGTAAAAAGTTCAATTAAATTAAAATAATTAATAGTGGATAAATTGTTTCTGAAAACAATTCCATTCCTGTAATCCTGTTTTAATGTAAAAAAAAAAAAAAAAAAAAAAAAAAAGGAAAAAAGAATGTTACAGTTATAGACTTTTGCATGGAACATTAATATGTTTTAAATTCATTAAACTCATTTCTTGAAATGTTATCTTAAAAAAAAAAAAAGTACGAGAAAGTATGACATATGTAGCAGAAGTGAATCGATTGTATTTAAACAGGAATTTAACTGAAACTACAGAAAAGTAGAAAAGGAATTTGAAATAACTCATCTTGATGATATATGTGACATTTTAGTAACAATAAAAGTTAATATATTAATGAAAAAGGATGGATAAGTTTTTTTTTTTTTATAAAGAAATGAAAAAAAAAAAAGATATCGAAAATAATTCAAATCATTTAATGATGCAAATTGAACAAATTTTAAAAAAGGAGTAATGCATACCATAAATTGTCTATCGAATATATAATTCTGCATTGATTATATTCTATTTTCGTTATATTGAATATTTTAATATGAAAAAATTGTCCACTTTAATCTTAGTCAACCTTTTCTTTCTTTCATCTCTTTCATGCCTAATTTAAATTATTAAAAATTAGTAATGATAAGAGGAAAAATATAGAAGTAAAAGCATACCATAAAATTTGAATGGGAATAGCAAAGATTATTGATTAAATTTAATTTTGGACAATATTACAATTATTTCAGTTCATTTATATTTTTTTATGTTTTCAAACAAAAATTATATATATATATTTTTGGTTTATTTATCATATTTTTAACAAAATTTTTTTTAATTTTTTAATATTCATTACTATCATCATATGTATATCACTAATTCTACATTTTATTGTTGTTGTTATTATCCAAATATATCAATTTGAAGTTACTATCAGTTCCTCTACAAACATAATTATCAGTACTTTGCTATACAAACACATTAGTTATTGTAAACCATCAACACTATCCTGTGACAGGTACTGTTCATGGCATATAAAAGGTAGTTTGCTCGTATCATAAATACAATTTTCAACATTACTGATAGGGCTACGCATTTATTCTTCTCCGATCAATACATTCATATATTACTTGAAGATAAAACTATTCATGTTTACAACTGTTTGAAATATCTATATTGTATAAAGCAAATTTAAAAAAAAAAAAAAAAAAATCGAAATGAGTTGTCCCTAACTTTTATTGCAAATAATCAAAAAACAGATAGATAGCAGTAATAATGGTAAAAATTCCATAATTTACTTTTGTTATTCAATTAACCACCATTGTAAATTAAAGTCATGCAATACTTTGTAATGTTATCGTGACTGCATAAGGTAATAAGTTGTCGGTTTGATGATAAGAATGCCTATAATCATATACATACATTCTTAGCAACAAACCAGAAAAAAAATGGCGAATATTTAAACATTGAATGATTAAAGATAACAGCAACTTTTGTAAAAATTCAAGAAGACGTTAAGTGCGTAATTCATATGAAAAATTTAATACTTAACGTGGAAAAATTATTTCCTTTTAAGCTTTCTTTCGCAGATACATGTAGCTTTCGTATATTTTGGACTTTCAGAAAGAATAATCCATAACAGTTCAAAGTAAACCCAACAAATCCCCAAAGCTGTTGCTAGTGAGGTAAGCATCAAAGGAATGAATTCGAAATTAGTGTCGAATATGATCTAAAATATAAAAACCATATTCAAGAACTTACGAATTAAAAAAGCTACTTACCGTTTGGAAGACTAGAATCAAACAATGAAAGATGACTGAAAATACAAGAAATCGTAAGAAAAATTCCGTCCTTTTAGTTCAATAAATTCAGTAATATTAATTATTTCGATAGTAAGGATAGCCTAATAAAAATTACCAACCCTATGTAGGACTAAATAATAAATTTGGACGAGTAGAAGTCCAAACAAATAAAGTTTTTGGAGAAAACAAAGTGATCTTTCTGGACACACAATCTGCATAATGGTTACTGATAAAAGCAGATAGCAAAGTGTAACAGAAACCTAAAATAAATAAGGATTAAAAAACACATAAAAATGAACAATTTAATTCCTAATGTAAAAATACCAATAGAGTTGTAATATCATCGAATTGTGGACGATTTTAAATATTTAAAGAATATTTAAAAAAGTATGCATATTGTCCCACTAACTATTAAAACTATAAAAATCTTCCCTATACTTTGATATAGATTTTAGAATACTAAAAAATTATATAGCGATATTGAATGAAAGCGTTTTTCAACGATACGAAGGAACATACCTTCAAAATATTCTCAAAAGGAGTAAAAAAAAGAGGAAAAAGTGAAACATTAGCCACAACTGAAAGCACAACAAAAGACGATAAAAATCGATGA